ATATATGTACAATCATATAAAACATTTCCATATTAGTCATTTTGTACAAGAAAATTTGAACCAAAAAAAAGTGGAAAATAGTATGTTTCAATCCATATTATGAAGGGCTTTATAAGCTAAATAGAGTTGATATTTTATCCTAGAAGCAATGGGAGTTGATTAAATCTTGGACAGACAAACAGATGGGTGGGAAAGATGATGAAGGCTTGATCTAAGGTGGCAGCTCTGGAGGTGGAGGAGGGGTCATCAAATACAAACCATGCTGTGGAAGTAGAAAAGGCAAGATTTGTCAAATGGACTATGTGGGGTAAAGGAATGAGAAGAGTTAAGGATCGTGACAAGATTACAAACCTGAAACACTAAGGACAGTGATGTTTTTGACAGAAATAGGGAAGTCTGGAAGGAGGAAGACTGTAATTTTGGACATACTGAGTTTGAGATGTCTTTGGATCATCCAATTAGAAAGTATGCCATGCGTATTTCTTACTATTAGCGATTTTGAGCACGTTCTCATGTGGTCATTTAGTTTGCAAACTTTCTTTTGCAAACAGTTCATTTCCTTTGACCCTTGAGAAATTGGTCTACTATATTCATATCGATGACCTCTCTATTCTGAATACCAAAATATCTGATGCAATTGTTTTCCCACTCTACCTTTCCACTTGTCTTCATTGATTTTTATTCAGGCAAAAGTCTTTTATATTTTATGTTGACAAAACTGGCTATTTTCTCTTTTCTAATTGCTATCCTTTATTTATAAAGAAATCTTTCCCTAGATTTTTCTAATGTGACAGAGAACAGGCCAGGAACCAGAACTCCTCAAATCAAATTCTGGAGTGGTAGAGCCAATAAAAGGTCAGAAGGAGACATTTTTCCAGGCTGATACTACTTAGGAGATGAGGAGGAGGAGAGTTTTTTAACACCAGAGTAGACACAGGCCTGGAGCACAACAAGAACACCAGCTAGTAGGTGGGCCTTGGAGGCAACCACAACAGTAGCAGCAGCAGCAGCAGCAGCTCTTGACCCCAAAATGGTAAGAGGATCAGACAACTGGACCCTGTGCTGGTACTGGGTGCAGCTAGCGTTGACTGGCAACTCTATTGCCCATTAGCAGTTCTGGGTGTCAGTTCCACAGCAGAAAGGAGTGCTTGTCACAAGGGAGCAGGGACTCTGGTCACGGTTCCAAGGCCAAGAGGAGCATGAGTACTTGTGGCTTCAGGGGAACAGAAGCCCTTCCTGCATAAAAATCAGAGTGAAGACCAGAAGAGCAGTGACATACCCTTCCAAGATAATACCACCTGGGAAACACTAAAAAAATTGTGGTCTCCAGAACTAGCTCTAAAAACAGAAGCATGAAAAAGCCTGAACTTGCACAGGCCCTTCCTAACCTCCAGTGAGCAGAGCCCAACTTTAACATAAAATTCAAATTGAAGAAATAGGCTGGGAAAAAGAGCAAACAACAACAAAGTACCCCACCACAAAAAGCTACTACTGTGGCAGGAAAGACCAAGACATACACTCAGAAGAAGACAACAATGTGAAAACAGCTATAAGCAAAGCTTCAAGGAAAAATGCTAATTGGGCCCAAGACCAGCAAGAATTCCTGGAAGTGTTAAAGAAAGTGATAAGAGAAAAACTGGGAAAAGAAATGAAAGTGATATAAAAAATTATGAAGACAATTAACAGCTAAAATTAAAAGAAGCACAAAAAATTACTGAAGAAAATAACACCTTAAAAAACCAGAACTGGCCTAATGGTAAAAGAGGTACAAAAATTCAACGAAGAAAAGAACTCCTTAAAAAGCAGAATTAGTCAAATGGAAAAGGAGGTACAAAAGCTCAGTGAAGAAAATAATTCCTTAAAAATCAGAATTGGGTAAGTGGAAGCTAATGACTCCATGAGATTTCAAGAAACAATAAAAGAAAGTCAAAAGAATGAAAAAATTGAAGAAAATGTGAACTGTCTCATTAGAAGAACTACTAACCTCAGAAACAGAATAAGGAGAGATAATTTTAAAATTACTAGACTACTTGAAAGCCATGAACAAAAAGAGCCTAGATAACATATTTTAAGAAATTATCAAGGACAATTGCCCTGCTATTCTAGAACCAGATGGTAAAATAAAAATTGAAAGAATCCACCAATCACCTACTGAAAGGGATCCCAAAACAAAAACTCCCAGGAACAGCACTGCCAAATTCCAGAGCTTCCAGGTCCAGTAGAAACTACTTCAAGAAACCAGAAAGTAACAAATATTGTGGAACCGTAGTTAGGATCACACGAGATTTAGCAGATTCCATGTTAAAGGAATGAGGGTTCACTGGGTGATCTCATCAGTTCCTATGGTTTCAATCAACTCTATCCAGATGACTCTCAGGTCTACTTGTCCAGGCCTAACCTCTCTACAACCCTCTAATCTCCCATCTCCAACTGCCTTTCAGACTAGAGATCTCAAACTGAATGTCCAGCAGACATCTTAAATTCAACATGCCCAAAACTAAACTTGTAATCTTTCCCCCATGCCCTCATACAGCTTAACATTTACTCTTAAAAGATAAGACACATACACAAGTAAACTATATTATAAAATACACAACTGAATTATCAAAGCATGAAAACAGTACTATAAGAAAAGAAGTTGCTCTTCATTGGGAGACTCAAAGATGACTTCATGAAGAAGGTAGAATTTTGAGTTGGCCTAAAAAGATGGGCAGAAAATCCAAAGGTGAAGAGGAGGAAGGATATTTCAGGCATAGAGAACATTATGAAGGCAGGAAAACACAGAACTGTAGAGTAGACCAGGTATCAGGATAAGGTTGGAAAGACAGTGTGGTGCCAGATTCTGAGAACCTCAGAAGACAGGCAAGAGAATAAACTTTATTTGGCAGAAAGAAGGTTAATCTGGCAGCTATAAGAAGGAAGGCTGGGAGAAGTCAGTAAGTCAGTCAATAAATATTTATTAATCACCCACTATATACCAGGCACTGTGCTAGTACAGGGGAAACAAATATGAAAAACAGTCCCTAGTGTCCTAAAGAAGCTTACAAATCCAAAGCGGGAAGACAACATACAAAAGAAAACTGGAGGAGATGCAGGGGAGGAGATGATGGAGAAGGCCAAAGGAGAGCAGACAGGTGAAAAATGAAGAGATGACTGGTCTGAGTCCTTAAATGGAGGAGGGAAAGGTGGGAAAAGAGTAGAAGCTGGGAGAGAGAGATGTCTGGAGTGAGTAATGTTTATTAAGGTAAAGGCTTTTAAACAAATGTTTAGTGGTGGAAACTCTTATTACAGCAATGTATTCTGAATGGCATATTTTAGAGCCAGCCAGATGGCACAGTAGATAGGGCACTGGACCTGAAATCAGGAAAACCTGAGTTCAAAACTAGTTTCAACAACTTAATAGCTACAAGTCACTTAACTTCTGTCCAGTCCGTATCGCATTAGATTGTCTACCTCTCAAGGGTCATTCTTTCCATCCTCAGCACTTAGCACAGTGCCTGACACTTGGTAGGTGTTTTGCTTAATAAATGCTTATTAGGAGGGAAATTTTCACTAGCACATTTAAGGGGAAGGGCACTCAAAACAGCATCATAAGGAACAGCTGAAGGGACTGGGTATGTTTGGCTTTAAGATAAATTTTACGTGAGACACAATCTCTCCCTTTAGAATGCAGGCTTCTTAAGGACAAAGACTATTTCACGTTTGACAACCCAACACATAAAGGAACTGCTCAATAAATACATATTGACTAACTGATCCAGGGGACCATGATCCTCAGATATGTGAAGGACTGTCACCTAGAAGAGGCTTCAGATCGGGGATTCTTAACCTCAACTTGGCTGTTTAACTCCTCTGGTAACTGTTATTTCAATATAATTGGTTCCCTTTGTAGTCCTATGCAAACAAAACTCTATTCCTAATCTTTTCCACCTGATTATTCAACTATGGGTTGTCTCTCCCTCATCTAGGTTCTAGTTTCCTTAAAAATCTCAGTTTTTGAACTGACAGAATTTTATTTTTCGAACTGGTAGGATTTCGCCTACTTTTTTCCAAAAATTTTTTCCAGTTCTCCTTAATGCAAAGTCATTCCCTCTGAGATTACCATGAATTTATCCTATAGATGGATCATCTGCAAACAGTTGTGTGTGTGTTGTGTCCTCCATTAAACCGTAAGCTCCTTGAAAGCAGGAACTGGTTTTTGTCTTTCTTTGTACCCTCAGTGCTACCCTCAGTCCCTGATACATATTACGCTCTTAGTAAGTGCTTGTTGATGACTTTATTCTATGCATTTAAAAACATCACTCTGAGAAGAGGTCTGGAGGCTTCAGCAGACTGACCGCCAAAGGAACTCTGCTTTAAGCTTTTTTTTCTGCTTGGCCCCAATGGGCAGATGCAGGAGCAAACTAAGTTCTAAACGACGAGCTTGCTAACGGATCTGTCCTGCGTGGAATGAGCTGCGGCGGCAGGCAGTGAGTCTGTAGGTCAGTCAACAAACATTCATTACTCGCCTACTGTGTGCCAGGCATTGTGCCAAGTGCTGGGGAAACAAAGAAAGGCAAACGACAGCCAGGCCCTGCCCTCGAGGAGCTCACAGTCTAACAGGGGAGAGGACGCGCACGCTAGGTGCACACACGCAGGATAAAGGGGATAATCTGCAGCGCGAGTTCCCCGTCACTCCCCCAGCTCGTGGGGAGGATTCACCGAACCGGCATGGTGGCTGTACCCCCAGGCCATAATCCGCTACTCTCTCCCCTCCCCTACAGCTTGGGGAGACGCTCCCCAAAGTACCCTGAGCGCGGCCCCAACCGCCCCCGGACCGCTCGGGACTGCCGCGAGGACGCCCTGCCGCCGGACACCTGTGCGCGCGCATGCGTGCGTCCCGCCTCCTCCCCTCCCCCGCCTCCCCGGCAACGCGAGCGCGCCCACGCACGGGGCGGGGGTTAGGAGGGAGCGCTTCGCTCGCCGCGCCCGCGCTCATCCCCTCAAGCCGGCGCCACTACCTCTCGGCGATGTAGAGGGTGCCGGTGCCCAGGCCCTTGCCGTCCAGCACCGCTTCGGTATCGGGCTGCTGCTGCCGAAGCCCATCTTCTGGGCTCGGCGGGGGGAAGCTCTTCAGGAAGCTCATCCCGTCGGCGGTGGCGGTGGCACTGGCCGCCCAGCGGACAAGGGAGGGGGGCTGGTCGGGAGGCGAAGGCAACACGCTCGCCCCAAACCCGGAAGGAAAGGGTCCGGTGGAGGCTCGCCACCCCGGAAGGACAATGTCAGCTAAACCCCGCCCACCTCCTTCGCTCGAGAGGAGGCAAAGCCTTTCTAGGAAGAGTGCTCGGTAGTCTTGGAAGACCGGCGAGCGCTCTACTTTACTCCTGAACCCGCTCCCCCAACCCATTCTGGTCTTGGGGGCGGGACTCGTGGTTTCCAATCCAAGCTCTTCCCAGGACTCCCTGTGTGACTTTGGGCCATTCACTTCCTCTCGCCTGTCCGAGCCTCAGTTTCCCCCAGCTGTGTAATGAGCTGAGGACCACTGGAAAGGAGAAGGTGGGAGAGAAGGAGTTTGGCGGTGCTGACCCCTCCTGTCCGAGGGAGCGTGGCCCTGGCAAGGTGGGCTTCCGAGGGGCAGGGGCCCTTGCCCTTCCAGCAGCTTTTTTGTGGTCGTTTGAAACATGTGGCCCCCACTGTCAGTGAACCACGACCTCGGGCTTCCTGGGCACTGACGTCTCTCCATGATCAGGAAGGCTGATGTTCGAGATCAGCCAGATCTCTAAAGGTCTCGGGCCACGTGGCTCTGACTTTTCGCATGAAACAAGCAAGGAAGCTGTGTGGTCCCCATCATCCACATCAGCAATAGAGACCTCATTGTGTTCCTCAGAGAAGCTTCTGGGCTCTGGGTTCTAGTTTCCACATGGGTGAAAACAAACTGGCTCTCATGGGTTCCTAATTTGACGATTGTTTGAGTTCCTGAAAAAGGACTCTTGAGCAGAAGGTTAACAATTTTTTAAAAAGTGTAATGAACATTTTAAAATCCACATCAAAAATGCTAAAGAGGGGATACCCTTCTAAAAGGGAAAGAGGGATAACGGGATTCTGATGTGAAGCCAAAACTAGTGTGGTCTTTAATGGGGTATAGGCCCAAAGTGAGACCTTTGTCCCAGTTTGGGCTCCATTTGGCAATGGGCCCTTGAAAACCTTGGGACTGTCCTTGAACTCTCCCACTTGATCAAGGAGATCTCTGGCATTCCCCTGAGGCCATGATTCTTTGACCCAGCCTGGCCCTCCATTGTCTTGCCTCCCTATGGCCCCAGGCCACTTCCCACCCTTGGTCCAATCTAGGCTCCATTTCCCTGGAATTCTGTTACTTCATTGGCCATTCCTATATCCTTCCCATAGTCTTCCTGTATATAAGGTCCGTCTTGTCTCCATTAAGATGCTCAGATTTTCACATTTAACATTGAACATTTTAAAAGTGATGTGAAAGATAAGTTTGCTGGTCAAAAGACCTTGCCAAAAAAAAATATGCAAAAAGCATACTTGGCTGCTGCCTACAAACAAAACATTCTAACAGGTACTGCAAAAATGTACTGAAAAAAGACTTTTGGAGGGAGAAACAGGAATCGCAATCATTTCACAACACCTTGATGTCATCTTAGTAATACCCCAACCACATGGTGGCCAAACATTACCCCCAACTCCAACCCCTAAGCAAGGGCACAGGAAAGCTATGGTCAGTCTCAAGTACTGTAGTAACAAATACTTGCCGTCCTCTGATAGGAAAGCCTGCAGTTTTGTTTAAAAGTCTGTTTTCTTAACAGTAAAAGTATTTTGATCTCTTCCTGTTGTCTCCTGCCCTCGAACTGGAAAGCATAAATCCTATTGCTGGCATTCCAAATATTCCACTTTTCTCCCTTGACTGATTTCTCTCTTGATCCACCTGTCCCTTTACAGAGAAATGTTTTACTTATCTGTGCTAAATTGCCACAGATTTCATAGCTGCTGATTGGCTGTAAGAGTAAACAAGCCAAATCTGTACTCCAGGAAGCCGAGTTTGCCGTTATCAGAATAGATTCCATAGCCTGTTCTCAGTGAGCCCTCCTTTTGTTAGTTTGACTCACAGTTATCAAGTCTTGATGGGCATGCTTCTCCCAAAAGCTTGAGAAAATTCCCCAATAGGCAAGTCTCAGGTTTATAAGAGCCATTAGATACCAAAGCTGTCCCATAGGGTACTGTCCTGGGCCCTCTTCTCTTCTTCTATACTATTCCACTTGGTGATTTATCAACTCCCATGGATTTAATTACTATCACTATGTTCATGATTTTCAAATCTAACCTCTCCTAATCTCTACTGACCTCCAATTTCTCATTTCCAATTGCCTTTCAGTTATCTCTTAACTGGATCCATTTGGATGTTTAAAACTTAACACTTCCAAAATGGAATTCATTATCTTTCCCCCTAAACCCTCCCCTCCTCTTACCTTCCCCATAATTACAGAGGGCAACACCATCCTCCCAGTCCCACAGGTTTACACATTAAGAGTCATCCTGGACTCCTAACTTTCTTTCACTCCCTATATCTGAGTTGTTGCCAAGGCCTGTTGATTTCGCTGTTGCAACATCTCTCAAGTATGGCCTCTTCTCTCCTGTGACACTGCCACCACCATGGTGCAGGTCCTCATTGTGAGGGACAGAGACCACCTACCCAAATTAAAAACCAGAGTCTTGACAAAAGTTTGCAAAAAGGAGGAATCTCTTTATTGACTTTCTCAAGAAAGGGTACCCCCCTGCTGCCTAAGCTGCCCCAAGAGTGCGGGTGCTCTTTGTTTAAGGCAAGATTATATAGACCCTAATGCAGCAGCCCACCCTAACCCCCTTCCTGTCGGCTCACTGGCTGAGCCTCAGATGTACAATCTATTTGTGTAAAAACTACCCCAGTAACAGAACAAAGAGGTGTAGAAATTATGTCAGCATGTTCCCCTTTTCAGGGCCTCACACTTTCAGCAGCCTTTTACCCAAGGTCATATAACCAGCTAGAGGATGAGATAGACAGGATGCTCTTATGGCTCAGGAATTTCTGCTAACACTATCTAAGAGCAGGGGAGGGAGAAGGCTAGGGGAGGGGGTCTTGTATTCTGAGGGGTCTTCACTTAGTGTTGGTACACGTGTACCACTCAAAAGCAACAGTACCAGAACCATTAACAAGAACTAATGACCCTTTGAGGAGGCTTCACTTCTGAGAGATCATCTCTCACATCATCATCTTGCAGTTGGATTATTACACTACTGCTGGTGGGGTCTGCCTGTCTCAAGTCTCTGCTCACTCCAATCCATCCTCCATTCAGTTACTGAAGTGATTTTTCTAAAGTGCTGGTCTAACAATGTCATCATCCCCCACTACTCCATAAATTCCCGTGGCTCTCTATTGCCTCCAGGAGCAAACACAGAATGCTCTGTTTGGCATTCAAAGCCATTTATAAACTAGCCCCCTTCTACCTTTCCAGTCTTCTTACACCTTACTGCCTGCCACATTGGCTTCTTTCAGTGACACTGGCCGTCTCTTGGCTCTGAGCATTCTTTCTGGCTCTCCCCCATGTCTGGAATGTTCTTCCTCCTCTGCTCTGACTACTGACCTCCCTGGCTTCTTTAAATCCAACTAAAACCCACCTTCTACAAGAAGCCTTCCTTAACCTCCTCTTAATTCCAGTACCCTCCCCCTTGCTAATTACTTCCTGTTTATCTCATGTGTGTGTGTGTGTGTGTGTGTGTGTGTGTGTCTTGTTTGTGCATATTTGTTTGCTACTTATTTGCCCTGTCTCCATTACATTGTCAGCTCCTTAAGGGCAGACTATCCTTCACCTCTTTCTGTATCTCCAATGCTTAGCACAGTCCCTGTCTCATAGGAAGTACTTAATAAATGTTGATTGATGGATTGAATTAGTCCAACTCTCCTGGTCAATGGTGCTGGTACCAAGACTGACAAGTGTTCAAGTAGAAACTTCTAGAACATCTCTAATGACAGGGAACTCACTGCCTCTTAAGGCAGTCTATTCTATTTTTAGAGAGTTCTTATTACTTAGATGTTTTTCTCTATAATGAGCTGAAATCTATATTTCTCTGATTTCTATCTACTGGTCCCAGTTTTGTCCTCTAGAGTAAAGCAGAATAAGACTAATTCCTTTTTCACTTGATAGTTTTTCTGATTCCTGAATACAACCCCCAAGATTTCGCTTCTGTAAGCTAAATAGTCTCTTCAATTGATCTCCATATGGTAAGGTTTTAATTCAAACAACATTGTTAAAAATGTCACATGGAGAATTCAATTTGGAAAACCATAAAGGAAGGGGGTAGATGTCAGGGTGATAGAGGTAGTAGAAGAAATGCTTTTAGGATGCATTGAGGCACAAGAAATGATACGCCATGCTGTTTAGCTTGGCTGAACAAATCAAAATTTCAGAGCTAGAAGAAACCTTAGTGATTATCAAATCCAACCACCTCTTTTCCCAGAATTGTGGAATGGGGAAAAAAGCTGGGTTTAGAGTCAGAGGATATGGGTTCAAAGCTTGGCTCTACCATTGACTACTTACGTGATTTTGGGCAAATTACTTTTTCTGGGCCTCAATTTCCTCCTCTGTAAAATGGGAAGGTTGGAATTGATAGCTTCTAAGACAGGTCTCTTCCAGGTCTAAGTCTTTGATAAAACAGTTCTTCCTCCTCTCCCTCTGCTCCCCCTTTGCCCTCTTCAGTGAAAAATCCCTTCTGCCACATTCCTGACCACAACGCCATCTGAATGGACTGTTCTTTTTGAACAAAGAACTCAGGCCTGCTGAAAGGATGAAAGGTAGAATAGCAAACAATGATGGGCCCTTCTAATGGCTATAGCCACAAATCAGTGAACTAGCTTTGTGTGTGTGTACGATGTGGAATAAAGTGGTGAACTTTTAATGATCATTTTGGTAACACAAAGAGCTTTCCATCAGTCTTTGAAAATGAAAGACAGTAATAGTAATATGTATTTAAAACAGCTCTGAGATTCTACCTGGTTGATTCTGCCCATCAATTGGGCACTGATTGTTGAAAATGATAAAAATTGGATACTTAAGTAATTGAGCAAAATAGGATCAATATAACACTGCAGGTGAAGTTGCAAATTGGTACAGTCTATATGAAAAGCAACACAGAACAATATGATATGAGGTACAAAATTGTTCATACCCTTTAACCCTTTACTTAATCCCTAGGACTACTACTTGGAAAATACTGTTATTATTGGGTATTATTGACAGGAAAATAAAAGGAGACACTGTTTTGTTACTACTCTGTGAAAGGTAATATTCACATTTTAAAAATACCAAGTAACAGAAATTTACAGTTTTATGTATAATCTTTTTTCCTATTTGGTTGAACATTTATGTTTGCTGGCAGATGTTAACAGCATAATAAAACATTTAAAAAATATCTCCACTGAAATACTCAATGAATTAGTCAAACTAACAAAGCCACATTATGCTCAAAGACTCCAATCAGATGCTGCAATCTGGAGACCCCTTTTAATATCCCAAAACACTGGACATGGGTCATTGCTGAATTAAACAATGACCATGAATTATTGTTGTTCAGTCACTTTTTCCAGTTGTGTCTGACTCTATGACCCCATTTGGGGTTTTCTTGGCAAAGACACTGGAGTGGTTTGCCATTTTCTTCTCCAGTCCATTTTACAGATGAGGAAACTGAGGCAAAGAGGGGTAAGTGACTTGCGCAGAGTCACATAGCTAGTAGGTGTCTGAGGCCAGATTTGAATCACAGAGATGGGTCTGGCCTGGCACTCTATCCACTTTGCCACCTAGCTCCCCGTATATAAATACATGTGATATTATAGACACACACACACATATACACATACATATGTGTGTGTGTATATATACATACATATATATACATATATGTGTATATACATATATATACATACATATATATATACTCACACACACATATATATATAGTTTATAGATGTTTGCATGTTGTCTCCCCCATTAGGCTGTGAGCTTCTTGAGAATAAGAACTGTCTTTTGCCTTTCCCTGTATCCCCAGTTCTTAGTATAATGTCTGGCATATAATTGGTGTTTAATTTATGCTAGTTTACAATTTGGAACTATGCCCAAAGGGCAACCAAACTGCGTAACCTTTGATCCAGCAATACCAATACTATGCGTACAAAAATATTTATAGCAGCTCTTTTTGTGGTGGCCAAAAATTGGACATTGAGGGGATGCCCATCAACTGGGGAATGGCTGACCAAGTTGTGGTATATGAATGTAATGGAATACTATCGTGCTATAAGAAATGATGAGCAGGTGGATTTCAGAAAACTGGAAAGACTTACATGAACAGATGCTGAATGAAGTGAGCAGAACCAGGAGAACATTGTACACAGTAACAGCAACATTTTGTGATGATTAACTATGAAAGACATAGCTCTTCTCAGCAATACAATGGTCCAAGACAATTCCAAAAGACTTCTGATGGAAAATACTAACCACATCCAGAGAAAGAATGGAGTCTGAATGTAGATTGAAGCATACTATTTTCACTTTTTTTGTTTTTTCTTTCTTGTGGTTTTTTCCCTTTTGTTCTGATTCTTCTTTCACAACATGACTAATGTGGAAATACGTTTGACGTGATTGTACACATATGACCTATATCAGATTGCTTTGCTGTCTTGGGGAGGGGGGAGGAGAAGAAGGGAGAAAAATTTGGAACTCAAAATTTTACAAAAATGAATGTTGAAAACTATCTTTACATGTAATCAGAAAAATAATAATACTGAGGAAAAAATAATGCTAGTTTATTGACTGGCTTCCAAAGTCCCTTCTAAATCTGAGATTTTTGGATTTTATATGTAGTACACTGTGCTAGATTCTGGGGGATTCAGAGTTAAAACACTTTGTATAATAACAGCTTAAGTTGATTTAGTACTTTGTGGTTTATAAAGCACTCTCCTCATGACAATCCTAATCAAACAAGGAGTGAGTATTGTGACCTCCATTACAGAGGAAAATACTGAGGCTTGAGGTCATGGTACACTATTGATGATATTGCAGCTAATAAAGTATCAGAGCTAGAATTGAAATCCAGGTCTCTCAAGTCCAGCCCAGTGCTCTTTTGATTTTATCACACTGTTGAGTGGCCACTATGTAGTAGAAACCCCAGTGGAAGGTTGTTAGTTCAGAATTGTTAAGGATTTTCCTGTTTCTATATAGCCAGAGTGAACATTAGGGACAAAAGCTAAACACCTGGGAATTCAGTTTAACTAGGCCACCTGGATATTCTTTAAAAGTAGTATTAGAAACATAACCACTATTCATTTACATATATATACATACACCTATACATATATATATAACATGTTTATATACATATACATATATATAACATGTATATATACATATACATATATATATATAGTCATTCATTTTTCTATTCATTAAACCATTAATTGATTTCATATCATGGGTGTGAAGTCCTCTATGATAATGCCGCTCTACTGAATTTATATACTATTTTTAAAAGTTTGCCACATACTTTATTATCTTATTTGAACCTCACAAAAACACTATGAGGCAGTTATTGTGGGTATTATTAACCTCATTTGACAGATGAGGGAAATTGAGGCTGAGAGGGGTTAAATATCTTGCCTATAGTTTCATAGCCAGTGACAAGACCAGAATTTGAACTCAGATCTTCTGATTCTACTAAGGGGACTATAAAGATGAATAAGATATAGTCCTTGTCTTCAGGAAGCATAAAATCTAGGACCAGAAATGTAATGGGGGTGGATAGGAACAGCAGTCTCCCCATTTCTCATCAATAGAAATTAATTTTTCCTAAAAGGCAGCAAAGCTGTCCCTAGGACCCTAGTAGCCCCTGCCTCCTTTGTCGCTGGTCCCTGAAGGCCACAGAAAGTCCCATCCCCGGGGAGTGGGGCTCCTCTGACTTGGGCTGACCTAACCTGCCCTTCCAAGCAGATGAGATTCCACATGGAGATGAGAGGATGCTACCTCCATAGAAGCTATGTACCACTCTATCTTTGTTGCATACACTTGCTAGGTTAGAGTTAAGTAAATCTGTTTTTGTTAACTGTTCAATGACTTATCAGCAATTCATTTCATCCTGAAATTGAACCTGAATTAAGAGATTGCTGACATAAGGCTTGCCCAAAACAGGGGGTAAAAAGTGGGTCCCATGACCTGTGGGACCACAGGCCACAGGGAGATGCTTCAAGATGGCAGAGCAACCCCCATACTGGCTGCTGAAGGCTCACTTTCAGTGGGCCTAGTCATGCTCTCCCTTTCCTTCCTGCCTTCAGAAGACACAGCACAGAATCTCCCTGTCCATGAAGGGGAAGGAAGATAACCCCCTTCTCTGTGTATGGTGGCTGCCTGCACGTAGCACTGGTACATGGGCTGCCTGGGAGAGCCTGACCTGGTCCTAACTTTCCTGGATGCCGCCTCTGCTTTGTGCTTCTTTCCCTAAGCATAGATGACCACAGATGGATTCTGAAATGGACATTTTCATACTTGGGCTAACCTCATGAGTTTGAGAGATTGGAGGCACCTGGGATCTTCATTTACTGCTAGGTGCCTATTAGTGGGAGGGGACAAGTAGCCCAGACTCAACTGTTTTAGCAGCAGACAAAAGAAGGTATAAAAACAAGTAGAAGTACCCATTAGACAGGACAGAGGGTTATAGAAATTCATGAGAGGGAGAGATTACAGACGGATTCAGTCAATCACCAAATACTAAGCACCTGCTATGCCCCCGGGACTGTGCTAAGTGCAGGGGATACAAAGCAAATGTGAAAGTCTCTGCCCTCAAGAAGCTTACATTCTATTGGGAGAAACCTGTATGTATGTATGTATGCATGTATGTAGACAGGTATGTGCAAAATAGACACAAGGTGACTTTATTGGGCACTTGCAGCTTCGGGGCATCAGGAAAGGCTTCCCAGCACTTCAGCTGAGTAATGAAAAGACAGAGACTGATTTTAAGATGTGGAGGTGAGGGAATACATTCCAGGCATGAAGGATGGCATGGACATAAGAAATGGATTGCCTTTTGTATGCGGAGGAGTACAAAGGCCTGTTGGACTTGGATATAGAGGAAGGATGTGTAGAAAAGTAATCTGTAGCTTTTCTGGAGGTGAAGATCTTCCCCGAGCCAACATGCCTCTCACGAAAGATTTCCTGCACCCCTCTCCAGAAGAGGAGAAGCGGAAATACAAGAAGAAGCGCCTGGTGCAGAGTCTGAACTGGTATTTCATGGACGTAAAGGGCTGTGGGTTCTATAAAATCACCACTGTCTTTAGCCACACACAAACAGTGACTCTCTGTGTGGGATGCTCCACTGTGCTCTGTCAGCCTACTGGAGGAAGGGCAAGACTTACAGAAGGATGCTCCTTCAGACGGAAGCAGGGCTAATAACTGAATCAAGATGATTGAGAAACTGTTAAGAATAAAACAAATTTGATACAAAAAGAAGTAATCTGTAATGTAGCTAGAAGGGAAAGCTGGGGTCATGTGAAAGGCTCTGCAAGCCAAACAAAGGAGTCTGTGAGTCGTCTGGGAGGTAACAAGGAAGCACTGGGATTTGTGGAGGAGGGGAGTGATGTGGTCAGACCTGCACTTTAGGAAAATCGTTCTGAGGCAGCTGTAGGGATGGACTGAATGGGGTCATCAGGATATCTTCCAATATTTGAAATGCAGTCCTGTGGAAGAAGAATTACACTCACTTTGCATTACCCCAGGGACCAATGGGTTGAAGTCACAATCAGACCAGTTCAGGCTTGGCGAAAGGCAAAGCTTCCAAACATGAACGAAGTGGATGCCTCCAAGGATAAGGGGTTCCCCTTTCTCAAGGTCTTCCAGCAAGGACTAGATCATCATTTGCTTGGAATGTTTGGAGCGTACTTTCTGAGGTAATGATTAGGTCATGTGGCCTCTGAAATCCTGTGAAACAAATGTGAACTAGAGCCGGAGTGTGGAGAGCCTTTAATGCCAGGCTAAGAAGTCGGCATGGTATCCTGTAGGCTCCAGGGAACCATCATGGTGGAGTGGAAAGAATGTTGGGCGCGGAGTCAGAAGAGCCATGGGCGTGAACCTCACTTCTGGCACAATGGGCAACTCACTCGATCCCTCTGAGCCTCAGTTTCTTATCTACAAAGTGGGGATTGTACTACCTAGGTTATCTATACCACAAGGAAAAACAAGTTACTGTAACATATAAAGAATTTTGTAAACCTTAAAGTATTATACAAATATAAATTATTACTTCATGTTTTTAGGAGGTAAGGGACAATGGTCACATATAGTCATTAGAAACATTAATCCTTTTCCCCCCCTTTTTTAAAGCATTTATTTTAGGTGGTGCAGTAGATACAGTACTGGGCCTGAAGTTAGAAAGACCTGAGTTCAAATGTGACCTCAGATACTGGCTGTATGAACCTGGGGAAATTCCTTACCCTTTGTCTGCCTGTTTCCTCAACTGTAAAATAAGGATAATAATAGCACCTGCCTCCCAGATTTGTTGTGAGGATTGTGTGGGATACAGACCACTACTCAAATAAAATATTCAGAGGTGGGGTGCGAGCAACAGAAAGGAATTTCTTTTCTTTCTCATGAGAAAGGACCCGCCCCTCCTCACTAGAGAAGCACCAGCCAAGGAGTGCAAATTGGTTACGGAGAGCAAGTCTTCTTATACCCTACCTCGAGCTCCTCCCCCTCCCTAATCCCCTGTCCCCTTATTCCATTGGCCGGGCTTCAGGGTGCACAGTCTTTTCTTGGAAATCTCCCCCAGCAACAAAGAACAAAGGCAGTTACATGAATTTGCCCGGGAGTCAAGAAAAGGTGGGAAGTCTTTTAATAGCTGTTTGCTCTGGGCTCAAAAACAGAATCTGGGCGGTTTCAAGGTGGTTTTGCAAGATTAGCTGTTTTTGCAAATGTTAGCCTTGCAAGGGTAAGCATTTTCAATGTTTGCCAAGTTTGCACAATGTTTTCTCTTGGAGGTTGGGGTAGGGTATATGCAATTCCAAAATACACAATGAGATTTAAATAGTTTATATTAAACCCCTGAGGAGACTTTACTGTTCCAGGGATTTCATCCCTCACAGGATCAAATGACGTCATATTTGTAAAGCACTTAGCACAATGCCTGGCACATAGCAGGAGCTTAATAGCTCCTTCCCTCCCCCCTCCTTTCCCCTTCCCTTCCTTCTCTCTCTCCTTCCTTCCATTCTCCCTTCCTTCTTTCCCACACAAGCAAAGCCAATGCCTTCTTTGATTATGTTTAAAAATATGTTGTTTGCTTTGAGTTCATACACCTTTCAGAAGGTGGTCCTCTGGAATTCTCGTTGGTAACTTGATTGGTCAGAGTTCTAAAGTCCTTCAAAATTGTTTTTCTTTATAAGGTTGTTATCACTGTTCTGGTTCTGTTCACTTCATTCTACTCATACTCATACATTTGGCTCATACAAGTCTTCCCAGTTTCCTTTGAAACTGTCCATTTTGTCATTTTTTTTTTGAGTACTAATATTCCATTACATTTGTAAATGGAGCTGCCAGGTAGCACAGCAGACAATGTGCCAGGCCTGGAGTCAGGAAGACCTGACTTCAAATCCAGCCTCAAACACTTATTAGCCATGTGACCCTGGGCAAGTCACTTAACCCTCTTTGCCTTAGTTTCCTCATCTGTAAAATGAGCTGGAGAAGGAAATGGCAAACCACTCCTGTATCTCTGCCTACGACACTCTAAAAAGGGGTCACACAGTCAGATACAACTGAAACAACTTAACAACAATACCACATTTATAAATAGGTGGGGACCACTTTAGTATCAAGATTTCTGCTACTGTGAAAAGAGCTGCTGCAAATGTTTTTGTACATGTTTATCCTTTTCCTATTTCTTTGATCTCTTTGGGGTATAGATCTAGGAGTGGTATTGCTGAAATAAAAGGTATGCAGTTTCTTTACTTTGGGGGCATAATTCTAAATTGCCTTCCAGAACGGCTGGTCAATCTATAGTACACTAATGTGACTGTTTTCAAAGCCCCTCTACTATTTGTCATTTTCCTCTTTTGTCATCTTTGCCAATCTGATGAGTCTGAGGTGGAACCCCAAGTTGCTTTTATCTGCATTTCTCTAACTAAAAGTGGTTTGTAACATTTTTCCATGTCCATTTTATTTTCTGTGGTTTTCTCTATCCCTTTTTAGGTCATGAACTCCTCCTCTGTCCATAGATCAGAAAGGTAATTTCTTCCTTGGTCCTCTAATTTGCTTATAAAGTTACTTTTGGCGTCAAAATCACATATCCAGTTGGAGTTTCATCTTGATATATCTTGGTGTGAGATGTTGGTCTCTATTTAATTTCTACCTTACTCTTTCCAGTTTTCCCAGGTTTCTGTCAAATAGGGAATAGGAATTAATCTGACACTGTGTTTTGGACAGACTGTCATGGCCCAAGGCTGGAGACAGGGAGGCCATGGCAACAGCCCAGGTGAAGGAAGTCCTGAGTAGGATGGTGGTTTAGGGAGTTAAGAGAAGTAGATGAATATAGGCAGTCAGATGGTACAGTGGCCAGTGTACTGCTCTATGGGTCAAGAAGAACTCAGTTCAAATCTGCCCTCAACTACATGTGACACTGGGCAAGTCACGCCATCGCTTTCTGCCTCAGTTTCCTCATTTGTAAAATGAGGATAATAATGACATCTACCTCCTTGGGTTAGTGTAAGGATCAAATGAGGTACATATGTTAATATGTAAACCATTTTGCAAACCTTAAAACTCTATATAAATTCTAGCTATTAGTATTTGCAACAGATAGCTTCACAGGCCACCTCTGCTTCAGTGATTCCAGTAGCATGCAGGAATTTATTGGCATGTAAACAGCCTGTTCTTGGGCTGTTGATGAAGCATCTATACTTGAGATAACTTCCTTACTTCCTTTTCAGGGTCAATTATCACCACTCCATTTAAGCCACACTTATCAAAATTTTCTCTTTACCTTAATCTCCACACCCAGGCAAACTATGAAAGTTTTTGTCGTTAAAAAAATAAAACAAAACAAAAACATATTCAACTTTGTTATAAAGGAGCTCTGGTCTCAGATATTGACATAAAACCCTTGGCCTGGATCACCATTCTTCCTTACAGCCATCATTTGGGAAGTAACTCTTGTGGAAAAGGGGCCAGCCATCCCTGCCAATTGCCACACGTAAAGCAGGCAAGCCAGCCTGGCCGAAGTAGCAAGGTACCCTGAGGGAGAGACAGGAAGAATCGTGTGCCAGGCGAGTCAAACCACCCCACCTCCACCCCCCTTAGCCAGGACTCTGAACCAGAGCCTTGGAAATAGCGGTCGTCTCCCACCCCACCCACTGGACCTGCTTCCAGCCCAGCCCGCACAACTATTATTGAAGGGAGAGGGCACTGTGGAGAGGAAGCCCACCTTCTTCATCACCACTAGCAGCAGCTACTAACCAGCTGCTACCGGAATGGCAGCACCTCCCAGTCCATCAGTCCTACTTCTGGATCAACTCTAACAGCCATGATTTGCAGAAGCAAGTGGAAAAGAGGCCAGTCACCCCACCCCTTGTCAATCAATTGCCACACACAGGATAGGCAAGTCAGCCTGGCTGAATCAGCAAAGCACCCTGAGGGAGGGACAGAAAGTGGAAACTACCAACGACCTTGACCACCATCTTCCCTCAGACCCTGCTAGAGACAGTCCAGGACCCTGAACTCAAGAGCCTTGGAAATGAATAGCAATGCTTCCAGCCCATCTACCTGGCAAGTTCCTGAAAGTGGTATAGCCTCAGCTACTGAACACCCAGAAAGGAAGGTTCTTGCCACCAAAATCCGATGGCTCCACATCAGAAAATGATATGATTTTATCTGTGGAAGTTACATTACAGAAGAGGCATTATTATTTGCTTTGCTCCTGTACCCTAAGGACCATGGGATCTCTCCAACTGACTTGCAGCTGAAATTTTCCATGTGTATTGCCTCCCTGCTCCCTTTAGAATGTGAGCTCTCTGACAGCAGAGACTTCCTACTTTTCTATTTGTTTCTCTAGCAAAAGCACAATGTGTTGCATATAGTAGGTGCTTAATAAATGCTTCACAGAGGATTTGTTATTCAAGATATATACAAACATTATATATATACACATACACACATATACATATGCACATATATACATATACTGTAGAATTAACATGGACAAAAAAGGTGTACTGTCCTTCCCTCTAGCTTCAAACCCTAACCAAATCCTAGCTCTTTTCAAGACCATTTAGCTTGTATGTTTCACAAACACTATATGGATATTAGCCACCCTTGGAGAAAGGAGAAGTTAATAAAAACATAGATACAGAGCTAGAAGGGGTATCAAGGTCAACCCTTTTATTTTACAGATGAGGCACAGAGATGGTAAGTATGTGCCAGGGGTCATATAGCTAGTTAGTGCTGGATGGATTTGAACTCAGGTCTTCCTGACTCCAAGACTCTAGCTGCTATCCCACCTGGTTTCCATGTCAGCATTTTGCTTTTTAAAAAAAAATTAAATACATTTCAAATTAAAATATGTATATTGAGAACTGATACACCTATCTCCCTAAGCAACACTGTTGAGCTGTTTTTAATTTTGAAAGTGAATTCTGTGTAAGTGAAAATTGTGAGTGGAATCATTTTAAAAGTAGAAGGGACCACAGCCATTACTTAGCTCCGACCCCTCATCTGACAGATAAAATAGCATGGCACAAGGCAAAGAGCACCCTAGCTCTGATAGTCTTAGCTCTGCTTGGCTTCAGAGGACCAAAGGAGGAAGAGGAAGGGGAGGAGGGGACCTGCTGAGAGGTAGATACAGGCTTAATGTAACGAAAACCTTCCCAACAATCAGAGCTCTCCAGAAATGGAATGGGCTGCCTAGGAATTCAAAGTCTTTAGGCAGAGATCCCTCAATGAGGATGCAAAGAGTGGATTCTTGTTCTAGGGTAGATGGACCTCTCTCTGAGGGCCCTTCCAAGTCTGATTCTGAGGAAAAGCACTGAGAAAAGGCTTTTGGGACCCTGGGAAGGGCAGTTTCTACAGTGATGGTTGTTGAAATAGATTGTTTTAGGTTAGGGAGTGAATGAAGGTTGAGAAAATTGAGGAAATAAAAGTTACTATCAATACTATGTATATTTTGGACCTGAAAACTATGTGGCCAGAATGCCTAACCCCTGTTTCTGCTTATACAAATGCTGCGGTCCCGGCTAGCTCACCCTCTGTGAAAGTTTCTGAATATTGAGAAATATAATTCAGAATAACAGTGGCTCACACTCAATGTTTTATGGATGGGAAACAATGGTCTCTACAGATCTAAGATCTAAATCAGGCCTCAAAACGGTTCAGTAAAAGACACAAGTTACCTACAATAATTACACTAAACCTGTTATCTTTGTGACCTCAGAGCTACATCTCAGGCCCTCCTCTCTACATTTTGTCTTTTGATAATCTGATGGGTTTGACTATCACTTCTATGCAGATGATTTCCAAAATTTTACATTTCGATCTAATCTAAATTAGATCCATCTCCTAAATCTTAGGCCCATTTCAAGCTGCTCGTTGTAAATGTTCACTGGATGTCAAGCTGATGGCTCAAATTCAATATGTCCAAAACCCAGTTTATCTTCCCCATTAAATTAGCCCTTTTCCCAAGGCCCCCATTTTTGTTGAGGGTACCACACTTCCATTCACCCAGGTTAATAACTTCAAAGGCATCTTTGATTCTTCCTTCACCCTCACCCTTCATATCCAGTCCCCTCTTTTTTTTAAATACCTTTTTATTAGCACAGTAACAAATACAGACTGAAGTAGCCCATAACATATAACCAATCCACTGAGTAACTCTTATTCCATACCTTATAGTTAAACAACTTAAGGAATTTCACTACAAGTTTCTGTAAGTCCTGATTAAAACCTCTAATCTTTTTACACTAGAGTAGTGGCATATAAAATAAAATATATTAACTACTCATTTCTATGTGGTGCCATGTATCTACTTGTCCACATTATATATCATGAGATGACAGTCTCTACAAAGCAATTGTTAAATATCAATGTTCCCTCTCATGGGGGAAAAAAACCAACATCTTTTTACCAAAAGAAGAAGAAGATGATGATGAAGAAGATGATGAAGAAGAATAAGGAGGAGGAGGAAGAGGAGAGGTAGGAGGAAGAGGAGGAGAAGGGGAAAAAAAAGGGTAGTCTTGGAAGGACTTCATATAATGCAATGTGTACTTGTACAAAAACCAAGCCGTTTTTTAATCTTCTGCATATTGCATGCAACAGAGCCCAAATGTCCAAATGTCCATTCTTTTTTGTACTATATTTGAGCTAATATAGCAGAACAAATGACAATCTTAAAAGATGCTATTATCAAGTCTGTCTACCGTAGCAAGACACCTTAAGTTACCACAACAAAATCTTAGGAAATAGAAGACTCAATAAAATTTGTTGTAGAAATCCCCTGCTCTTTATCAGCTCCCACCCTCTCCCTACCACTTCAAAGTCATAAGCAGCTCTCTTCATCATAGACAAATAATGTAAATTTGGTGAAAAACTCAATGCATGTAGTGTATCTCTTGGACCCCTGCCTGGCCATTCTGTCATGCTCAGCTCTGTTAGTCATGTGCTGAGTGAGGATACTTCCCACAAGGGGTCAATGGGGTTGCAGTCAGTGAGCAGGGAGCAGATGGAAAGGAGCACTTTAGAGATGGTGAGGGCCAAGCTCCAGTTCTTCACAATCTCCAAATAGATGGCCCCTTCGTTTTTGATGTTACAGCGATAAATTCTTGTCTGTAATGTAACCTTTGGAGGCTTGAAGGGATATTCTAGTGTAAAGGTTATGTCAAAGAAGAAAACACCCCCCTCATAGACTGATGCCAGAGATCCCAGAATAGTTGATATCTATTCACAGATGTTATCACTGCAGTCTCCTCTTTACCAGATCTAGGAAAAATCATTGTAGATATACTTCTTCTCTTACATACATAGCAGTATCTTCATCTTCCAGCTGAACATGTTAATTAATAGATTCTATTTGAAGGAATCAATGAACAAGCATTTACAAAATGCCTACTACATGCCAAGTGCTATACTGGATATGGAAAATGTAAAGATAAAAATAATACAATGCCCACAGTTCATATCCTATCAGGGGAAACGAAATGTACACATATAAGTAGATTAAAAGGTATATAAGAAGTAAATAAGTAAATAGAGCACCGGCCCTGAAGTCAGGAGGACCTGAATTCAAATCCGGCCTCAGACACATAACACTTACTAGCTGTGTAACTCTGGGCAAGTCACTTAAATCCAACTGCCTCACCAAAAAAGAAGGTGTCAAGGCACTGCCAGCTGGGGGTAGGGATTTGGAAAAGGCTGAGCTTTAAAGCAGATGGGGGATTCTAAAGGAGGCAGCTAGGTGGTGCAGTGGACAGAGCACCGGGCCTGGAGTCAGGAAGATCTGAGTTCAAATTTGACTTCAGATACTTAGTAGCTGTGTGACTCTGGGCAAATCACTTAAGCCCTATTTGCCTTAGTTACTCACTTTATAAAATGAGGACACACTGGAGAAGAAAACGGCAAACCACTCCAGGATCTTTGCCAAGAAAACCCCATGGAATTTGTCACACGGAGTTGGCACAGCTGAATAACCACCACAAAGGTACTTGTGAGGGGTGGAAGGGCTACAAACACCCTGAGACGGAAGATGGTGCATCATGAGTGAGGAACAAAAAGACTGTGGTTTGGCTGGCCCAGAGGGTGAAGGGCTGTACTTTATAATAAGCCCCGGAATGGAGATGGGAGCCAGGTTGTGAAGGGTTTTAAACGCCAGACAGAAGGAGTTTTTATTTAACTGCAGAGGCAATAGAGACACCCAAACTTTGTGAGCAGGAGAGTGACGTGGTTAGATCTGTGCTTTAGGAATATTACCGTGACAGCAGTATTGAGAAGAAGCTATCGTCCAGGTGAGAGGTTAGTGAGGTCCTGAAGGAGAGAGTTTGCTGGGAGTTGAGAAAGGAGGAGGATCTAAGAAGTGTTAAAAGAGGCTGACTCCACAAAGACCTGGCAACTGACTGGATATATTGGGGGAGGGAGGGTGGGGAGAGAGGAGATCTGGGAAGGATTCCAAAGTTGTGAAGCCGGGTGCCTGGAAGCAGAAGGGAAGCGAGGAAGAGGAAGAGGTTTTGGGGAAAGATGAGCTGTTTGGATATGTACAGCTTGTGACACCTATGGGACACCCAGCTGGATATGTTTAGCAGGTAACTGGCTATGCAGGACTGGTACTCAGGAGAGACTAGGGTAGGATGTGCAGAGCCCAGTCATTTGTGTTGCTCAGTTGTTTCCGGCTCTTCATGACCCCAATTGGGCAAAGATACTGGAGTGGTTTGCTATTTCCTTCTCCAGCTCATTTTTACTAATGAGGAAACTGAGGCAAACAGGGCAAAAGTGACTTGCCCAGGTCAGACAGCTAGTAAAGGTCTGAGGCTGGACTTGAACTCAGGTCTTCCTGATTTCAGCCCCAGCACTTTATCCACTGAGCCATCTAGCTGCCTCCCAAATTATCTGTACAGCAATGATAAGAAGGCACAGTGGCTGAAATCACCAAAAGAAGAAAATAACACTAAAATCAACGAGACATCTCAAACTCAGAATGTCCAAAACAGAACTCTGTATCTTCCCCTCTTCCCTAACGTTCCCCTCTTGCAAACTTTCCCATGTTCAAGGCCACCACCATCTTCCCAGTATCATCTTTAAATCTTGAGTCGTCATTGCCCCACTTATCACTCTATTGTCAAGTAGCATCATTTTTACCTTCATAAATGTCCCTTTCTTATCACTTACATCACCATCATCCTTATTCAGGCTCTTACTACATCAGTCTTGGACTGTGGCAATGATCTTCTAAGTGGTCTCCCAGCCTCAAGTATCTCCACACTCGAGTCCAATTTAGTCTGCTCAGCTGCAAAAGTATTCTCCTGAAGTACAGGTCATGTCACCCCCATACTCAATAAACTCAGGATCAAATATGATATCTTCTGTTTGGCATTTAAAGCCCTTCACAACATGACCCCTTCTGACCTTTCCAGTCTTCTTCTTTACATCCCTCCACGTACTCTATGATCCAGCTACCCAGGACTAAATGTTGTCCCTCACATATGACATTCCATATGCATTGACTATCCTCCATCCTTAGAATACTATCCTTTTTCACTGTTGCACTTCACCCTGTTCAGGATCTTATGGCTGTCAGCCACTGAACCCTATGTACTCACCTCATTTTCTTCCTTAATGAGTTTCACATCTGGATCTCAGTATTCCTCTCCAGCCTATACTCTACCTTCATCCTTGGTGACTTTTCACCATTATCCTGAATTATTTTACCCCAAAGCTCTGAAATTTTACTCCCAGACCATAATGTTCTGAACGGCCACCCTCCCCAGCTTCCTCGCTCAGCTCACACAGCTTTTTGTTTTAACAATTTATTAAAGCACTTAACACGTACCAAGAACTCTGCTAAGTGCTGGGGATATAAAGAAAGACAAAAATATGCCCACAAGGAGCTCACATTCTAATGGGGGAGACAACATGCAAACAAATATAAATGCAAACAGATACCAGATACGGGTGTACAAAACCTAGATAAGGGTAGATGAAAGCGGTAAGGCCTCCTGCAGAAGGTGGAGTTTGACTTCAGTTTTGGAGAAAGGCATGGAAGCCAGTGAGCAGAGGTGAGCAGGCAGAACTTTTTAGGCATAGGAAGAAACCCACTGAAAAGGCAGGGAGTCAGGAGAATGAGTGCTGAGGGTGAGCAAGTGTCATTAGATTGTAGAGTATGGAGGGAGGGAAAAAAGTGTGAGAAGACTGGAAAGGTAGGAAGGGGCTGGGGCTTGAAGGGCTCTGAATGCCAAACAGAGGATATTGTGTTTTATCCAGGAAGTAAAAAGAAACCAGGAAGCTAGGTGGTGAAGGGGATAGAGCACCCAGACTCCTCTTTGTGAGTTCATATCCAGCTGCAACCATTTACTAGCTGTGTGGCCCTGGCCAAATCACTTAACCCTGTTTCCTTCAGTTTCCCCATCTGTAAAAATGGAGCGGGAGAAGGAAACAGCATTCCAGTATCTTTGCCAGGAAAACCCTAAATGGGGTCACAAAGAGTCGGACACAACTGAAAAGACTTTAACAACAGCAACAACAGGAAACCACTGGAGTTTGAGTTAAAGGGGTGTGATATGGTCTGAGCTGTGCTTTAGGAAACTCGCTTTGGCCGCCGAGGGGAGGATGGGATTGGAGTGAGGAGAGCCTTGTGGCAGGCTACCCACCAGCAGGCTACTCCAACAGTCTAGATCTGAGGTGATGAGAACCTGCAGCAGGATGGTGGCTGTGTGACTGGAGAGAAGGGAACATTTATGAGAGACCTCAGAGAGGTAGAAATGACAAAGTACGGCAACGTGGTGGATTTGTGTGGTGGCAGTGAGGGAGAAGTCAAGGATGACAACTGGCTTGTAAGCCTGGGTGAGGAAGGAAGAAAAAAAGGAAAGAAAGAAGGAAGAAAAGCAAATGAGGTCAATTTTGGATATATCGATTTTGAGAAGCCTATGGGATGTCCAAAAAGCAGTTGGCGATGTGGGACTGGAACTCAGGAGAAAGATCATAGGTCTTGGAATCATTTGCATAGAGATGATAATTGAACACATGGGAACCAATGAGATCACCAAGTACTAGTAAAGGGAGAAGAGATTCTTGGGGGACCACCATGGTCAGAAGACCTGAATTTCCTCCATGCTTTTAATTCTGTGAGTCATCATTGCTATTCTGGCCTCACTTTCTCCTCTTTACATTACTGACCCTGTAGTCAGTCAATCGTCTTCTTGAATTGCTTGAAGTGCTACACTATCACTGGACATGCCTTGACAATTCTCAATGCTGAGACACCCCACCATCTGTTTTTTTCTGTTTCTATGTATGCCTCAGCCACCAGGCACGGCTGGATAAAGTCATAAAACAGAGCAGACTGGGTCCACTAAAAATTCATGGTATCTAACCTCACCTAGGCCCACAAGGCTAGAGAGTAATCCTTTTATTCTTTTTTAATCATTTCATCTCACTCTTCTTTTAGACTTATTTAAAACATACTTATCTTTTTTCATATCAACTCCTATCCCTCTCTTCTCAGCAGAGGATTTCACTTCTTACCTGATGGAAAAGATTGAGGCCTTTCAATGTGACTTCCCTCATGTTCCCTTCCCTTAACATCTCAAAAACTTTCTATACCTTTTATCTGTCCTCTTTCCTCTAGTGTTCTAAGATGAGAAAAATCTTTCTCTTACTCAAATTTAACCTTTCACTTTGTGTCCTTTATTTCTTACTTGAGAGATACTCTATTCATCTAATCTGAAATTTCCCCCTATCTTTAGGCACCTTTCCCACTACTTATAAATACGCTCATGCCTCATCATAATTAAAAATTTAAAAAACAAAAAACCCTGCCATTGGTTTCCCCAATATCAATTAAAGCTATTACTTTTATCTCCTCTCCCTTTCCTCTTCCAGTTCTACATTCATTCATTAATCCATGCCCTCCTCAACCCCTTGCCATCTGGCTTACCATACTTACCACTGTACTGAATCTGCTTTTTCCAAGTTTCCAAATGACTTCAACCACTCAATTTGATGGGCTCTTTCCTTAGTCCTCATACCCTTTGATCTTTCTACGACATTGGATGTCACTAAGTAATCTCTCCTATTGCTGTAGTTATTTTCTGTCTTGGCTCTGGGCCACCTGCTCATTCTTGACCTATCTGAACAGCTTCTTGGCTTTCACTAATTTAATGTCTTCCTCCCAAGTGTGTGTCCCCCATGGTTTTGGCTTCCCTTTTCTACTCCTTTAAACTCTCTTAGTGATGTCCCGTGCTTCCATAGGTTCAATTGTCATCTTTAATGCAGATGAATCTAAATCCATATATTCAGCCCAATCCCCTTCCTGCCTCCCCTGCCCATACACACCTCGAACTTTATTCCCACAGCTTACTGGAAATCTCTAGTTGGATGTCCCAGCGACTCGAATTCACTTTGTCCAAAATAGAACTCATCTTGCCCCTCCCTCCCCAACTTACGTATTTTTGTCAAGGGCAGCATCATCTTTACAGGTACCCACGTTTCAGATGTTGGCATCATCTTTAATTCTTGCCAATCTTATATCCACACATCTCTCAAATCAGTCCTCTTTTCTACGTTCACTCACACTGACATCAACGTAGTTCTGGTACCCATCAACTAGGTATTGGTCCTTCATGCTTTATCCATCATTTTCTCGGTTAAAAACAAAATCCCCATTGCCTTGTTAACACTAGGTGCTTATAAAATGTTGAATTTAAATTAGGATAGTAGATTTGCCTATAGTCAAACTTAACAAGAAGTGAAGCAAGGATCTGAAACCATTATGTACAGGCTGTAGACTAGGGCTTGAAGCAAAAGCTAAGTTTACTAATACAACATGCTAGGTAGGTCAAGTTATTTAAAATTTTTTTATTATGACAACTTAACATGTCATATTTATATGTAATAAATGACAGAAGGTATTATAACAAAAGCATTATGAAAGAAAAAGTTACACAATTAGGCCAGCGGCTATAAAATGGCTTTCGGCCTAGTTTACACACCAAGAGAGTTCTGACCAGACTGTAGTGAGACAACATTGAACATTTCATTAACAAAAATATTGGCACCAGCCTTAACATATTCTGTTTTTCATTTACAAGGTATATAGTATTTAAAGTTGTGCATTGCAATTTTAACACACTAGCTGTTCATAAATTGCAGTTTAACCCCTTAAGCACCGAGGCTACCAGGACTTCTTCCCACATTATTTTTATGCACAAAATTTACATGCTTGTGATAGCATAGTTGTAGGAAAAAAAAGAGTGATAAGTATCACCCGTTTTCTGTGCAATGAGTCACGCTTCCAGTTTTTAAAATATATTCTCCCACTACCACATTCAGGACGCATCCATATAGAAAAAAATCAGCCTAGGTTCTCCTTTCAGACTTTTAGCAATGATCATGATTCCATCGAGAAATATAAGATCAGACTTCTTGCAAGGCTAAGATATCTATGACCTTAACTGCTGAGCTTCTTAACGTTTAACATTTGTCTGTCAAGAACAAAACAAATGGAGGCATTCCCCAAGTCTGAGAACCTAATCCACAAATTTTATATTTTCTTAGAAACAAAAGCAAAAAACCCAACAAAACATCCGAAGTATAGGAGTAAATGAAGTGTTTCATGTAAGCATATCTTAAAATGCAAGGCATGTTCTGGCAGCTCTGATCCAATGAGTTCTTCTGAATGCCAGATACTATTATTTAAATAAACAACAAATACACACAGAACCCCCAAATCCCTATCTGCTAGTAAGTAATCTCTATTATTTATGCCAAGGCAGGAGACTCAAAATCACCAGGACTGCACTGATAAATACACTGAAGAGCCTGTCCTATCTGAAAACCGCAGACACAAGATGCACAAATCGGCGTGATTCGATGTTTACTGTGACACTCTCGCAGATGAATTTGTCCTAAGAGCACCATTGTGCTACACGGCGGAGAAGGGAGCAACACATTGGCATTTAAACAAGTTGGTTTTTTAAAAATAAACTATGGATATGTACTAATTAAAAGAATGAGATTCCAAAATCCATCTTTTTTGAAGGAGAGTGGAATTAGAAAATTTAATAAGATTTGCTTTTTTCTTGCCATTATATATTTTAAAAGCACATGAATTAGCATCCATGAAAAGCAGTAGTCTTAAGTTATAAGTCATAAGCAATTATAATAACAGTACTGTATTCTGTCCTTGATAGATATAAAAATCATTTGTAGGTTCTTCTGCAAGGATAATAGTCTCAAATTGCAAATGGCTATTGGAGAACCAAACATCAGGCCAGCTGTGATATTCCCTTGGAAAAACCAGATATTCAGAATATGCTCTAATTCTTCTAAGCAGGGTCATTCCAGGCCCCTGGATCCTGATCACTCATGTATGTGAACAGACACTGTAGTTCTATTTGAGTTTTTGGGAAATGCCTTTGGGGATCTGGGGATGGTGCTTGTGTCAGTTTCCCTGGTTTCAGCAGCTCCTTTGTGTAGCAGAATTGATCTGTAACCGCAAAATCCAGCTCTCAGGCAGCAGGATGAAAAAGACCATGGCACAAATTGTTAAGCAGTTTTAGTTTTAATTACAGCATAGACCCGTGGATATTCTATCACAAACACAATTGTAAAAATCTACAATCTACTTTCGGGTGTTATTTCCCCACCTCCCACCCCCTTAAAAGCTGTACACAATTATAAAAAATGTCACTCTAAGCAAAATAAATTTTTTTTTTGCAACGTACAAAATAAGTTAAACGATTTCTGAAGCTCGAGTGTTTACTTAAATTTCCAAACAATGGTTTTCTGGATGGCTGTATTTCTAACATGCAGCTACTTGTTGTACCACCAGAACTTAATAAATACAGATTTTAAAACATATTTTACAATAAAATTTCTTAATAAACTGAGGAAAGTTAAGAGGACGTGTAAAATTAGAGCTGACAATTCCATTCTTAACTCACATCATCCAATGGCAAAAGGAGACCTCAGCATATTTTCCAAATTGTGTTAAGAAATGTGAATTTAAAGTTTCTATTCTACTGAAGTTTCTGTTCAGCATCCTTTTTTTTTTTTTAAGTTCTTATTCCCAAAGTCTAAATAGCTTATTCAGAAATCATAAATAATTTTTACCCACCCAAAAATCTGGTATATGGAGGATAATGTATTCCATACAGGTATTACAATTTAGAATATTTCTGTGCATTAAATTATAATCATTGCAAATGTGCCAGGACTGCTTTTGTAGTGCTTAGCATTGTCACTTTTTTCAAGGAACTGCACAAAAATGAAATGGTAAATGAGACAATCAAACCTATGTGAAAATGGCTTTTTAATTATATATTTAGAAAAAAATTACTGATGGTAATCTATACAACATTTAACTCATGGCGATGGGGAGAGTGGAGAGGTGTAAAAGAAGAAAAGGCATTACAATGTAGAATCTGAGTCATCTATACAAAACTCACTACAAAAAATTTCTGGCCTGTAGTGACTGATGGCAGACCCATTAGGTCTCAAGGACTTGTTCTTTCTCTACTTAAAAAAAAAAATGACAGCACCTAGCAAACTATTGGCACTCAATAAATGTGAAATGATAATGCTAATGATAACTTAAGGCAGAGCAGAAGGAAAGGTTCTTAAAACAACTACAGTACATAGTCTATACATTATTGACCACATTTAAAACTTCTTGTTTCCAGGATTACCATAACAAAGCAAATCTACAAAGCTCACCCTCCACTTTTAAACCAAGTTGACCTTTAATATGGGGAATGGTGGGTGACATTGGTGCTGAAGAGAAGATGGATTCTGTTATGATAAATGATGATTTAAGCTTAGAGATACTCAGCCAAAAGCCAGTAAACCAGAAACAAATTATGCAACTTGGGCAATCATGGCCCACTAGAGAACAGCATTACTTTCAGATTAAGGGGAAGAACTATCACTATTATCTTCTGGTCCCATGGCAATGACAAAACCCACTATTTTAAACATTATTTTCTGTGGAAAGAAAAATCTTTGAGATATATTTTTCTCATATATGTGTGTACACATGCCAAATTAAACAAATATAAGGTGCTCAACGAATGCATTCTGTTTCATCATTTTTCTTTATGTAATACATCTCTAAAATGCAGATTTTTAAAGTTGAGAACTTGTTCAAAGGAAACAAGACTCTGAGTCTGAATAAATAACACGGGGACATGAATACGTCACAGACCCTCATGAGAGTGGAGCTAAGTCTATTATGTTTTCTACACTTTAAACTTAACTTCATTTTCCTCTTCATAGTGAGGGCTGAGAAAATCGAAAAATCATGGGAAGAATGTCCCTATTTCTAACAGAATCTCTTAAATGTGCAACATAGGCTTTAAAAAACTTCTCTTGTGATGAAAACAGTACCACTCATTCCACTTACGTAGACCTGTGCTTTTTCCCCATAAACTTAGACTGAAGTGACCAATCAGGTTCCTAATGTTATTAAACAAAACGGGCTAGGTTGTGACAACTAAGAACCAGGCAACAAGAGAAATTATTTTGCAATTATTCCACTTAAAAACTTCAAGGAGTTTCTAGTGGTTTTAAAATATTTGAAAATCTTTTGACTATTTACATATCCTAAACTAAACCACTCTTATTTCCTTATCAAGACTGCAGTCTTAGCTAGGTCACACCATACGGAAAGCATACAGTTCATCCAAAGGATCTCCATTTGGTCATTAGTTGTATTTCTTCCTTTGGATTTGCAGTAATATGCTAGACTCAGTAAATATTACATCGAGCATTATTCCATCTGCAGAAAACCTTCAAAGCCAAGCTGTAATTTAACAAGTCCTATTCTTTTTCACGACCAAGGGAGACATTTTTATAGGAAATGAAACTGTCTACTCCTAAATACTCCAAATCTTGACGTAATAAGGCTGAGTAAAATGAATATACTAGAACCTCTAATAGATTTGTTACAGAATGGAATTGGATACGATAGTTTGGATCTAATCTAAGGGGTTTTGCAGTATGTTAAGCAGCTTTGTTATATGGTGGCCATGGAATGCTCACTATTACTTTGGGGGTCTGGGGTAGTCCTGAATTATTTTCTTATATTTTTGAGAAAGCATATGAGCTTTTCTCATTATTTTCACATATCAATGAAAAATATATTTAGAATTTACATTATGGTAAACTTCCATTTCCTTTGTGGTGATCAAGAAACTCAAACTTGAGTGTGCATAACAAAGGGCAGAACCAGTCCCAGTCTGCTCCAGCTTTTAGTTGGGTTAACCACGACTATCTAGAGAGCAACACTGCAGATATCTAACTATACACGTAGACTCTCACTATACAGATAGACAGACGGACTTAGGCTGAAGGGTTCTCCCAGAAGCTGTGGTTAGCATACAGGCATGGATCCAATGACCTTAAATATCAGCTGGTCGAAGTGGCCTAACTGCAACTTGCAAGAAGCTGGTACCACAATCAGAATCTACCTGCCAAACGATCGTAAAAATCCACAACTTTCTGAACTGGAGACGTACAAAGAACCTTCTGAATTTCTGCACAAACAGATTAATCCTGTCACAGTCCCATTTTCTGTCGATGTGTCTGAAGTACAAGCGCAGGTTTTAGGTGGAGGCTGCGGCTGCTTGGTTTCTGGAGTGGGGAGCAAGGCATGTTGTCAAAGGGAAGTTGCCCAGTATGGTTACATGAAATTGGTGCTGGCAGGTGCCCTGCCTCTGCCAGCTTGCTCTAAAATGAAGTTCAAACATTAACCCTCTGTAATGTCCTCTAAATAACAGACAAGGGACTCGAATTAAACACTGCGCGGATTATAAAGGCATTTAGCGGCCTGTTAATGCAAGTCATTTCTTCCCCCTTAAAACAGGACATTCTCTTCAAAATAAAAAGTCACAACTTTCTTCACATAGCATACTATTGGTGCATCCTAATTTTAGGCTGCCTTTGATTATTTTATTTTATTTTATTATTAAAACAGATGAAATATACATTGCTAGAATCCAACAAAAATATTAATGGACAGGTGAACTACAGAACTAAAGTGAAAAAGGATAAAACAGTAAAGAACCAACATCAGTCAAAAAAAATAGCTATAAACTTTCAAGGCCAAAAGTTAAGTCTGCAGATTAAATTGGGGAGGGACACAAAGGGAAGGCAGGCAGGCAAAGTTTTCTAGAGAGGTATTTATATGTAGTTCTAGCGCCAGCTTAAAAAAAATTTTAAAAAGAAGTGCTTAATTATGGATTGACTAGCACACAAAAGGTTTAATTTGGAGAGGAGACAGGATGTGACCCCTTGGTGCCATTAGCAGGTAACACGCATCCATTGCCAGCAATGGACAGAAAAGGGGGTGAAAAATCTAAATCCCTCTGCAAGAAAAGGGCTGACCAGAAATGACCATCTCTGGTTTCAAAAGGACACATGGAAGGTTCATCATAAAGGCTATGCTTTGTCCAAATGTTAGGGCTCCTACCTGAAAATTCACAGGATACAGAGGCTGAATAAAATGAGGGCCATGGTTAGGGTCAACCAGGTGCTCAACTCTCCGCTTCAATCCCCCCTCCCCCCCTTTGCATCACTTTGTCTTGAGAGTGTCAAGGCGTGTAAGTGGATGTTATGCCCATAAATTTGGAGATACACTGGTTGCTTTCCTTCTTCTGTAGGTTGGTCACGCGAGTAAGTATGAATTTGAATAAAGTTCTAATGGCCAAAGGCAAAATGACATTTAAAACCTGCTAATATATCTAGGCAAATAATGCCAAAACATGCGCGCGCGCGCGCACACACACACACACACACATTCTCACAAACTCAAACTAAAAACCTTCCAAAGGAACTGCTTGGTTTGTAGACTTCAATTTGAAGTAGATACTAAGGGCAAGAACAGATTGGTTAGGAGTCACCTGAAAACCCACTCCCATCATCACATGTGCTAAAATCCCACTGTCAGCTCGACGTCTCTTGATGTATGGCATATGCAGATATCTATATCTATATAGATATATACATCTTAAAATGACCTTTCAAATGTTTAGACATTAAGTGGTCAGTTGTTAAAATAATACTTATGCTATCTGTAATGGTTACACTATCTCTTTTGTCACATTGACCAAATATGTACAATCATCACACTGATATTTTCCATCAGACACGGTACAGTAGGGATGATCTGATCAAATATGCATAAAGCCATTTTACAAAATTTGCTGCTAGCACAATTTGGCTGCCCAAGCTTCATTATATATGTTTTATGGTACAAATGCTTTTCAGATGATGCTGATGATGATTATTATTTTTAAAAACAAAGAAACTCCATTGTAACAGATACTTAAAATTAGAGCTCTTACTAATGGTACTTTCTTGGTCTCTTTTGCATTAAGTGTGGTTATCTCCAGTATTAAACAAGTTGATTTCATGAAGGTTGCTACTAAATGAGCTATGGTATGATGTTATCTACAATTCACAAAATGCGATAATACAGACATGTACTTTCAAACTGTCTGTTAATTGTAATCTGTTATGAATGTTTAAATATAGTATATATGTGTGCATATATATATTTAATATGAAAACAGTAAAGCACAAGTGCTTTCTCCCACCCCCAAATTCCATTTTGGGCCCTGACAGATTTGGAATGCATTCTTATCCATCCTTTTATCACAAAGTCAGGAGAGCTGAGGAACTACAAAGTCAAAAATATACAAATCTTTTGTTGTTATTAGAATACGGGTTTGTGTGTGTATTTGTGTGTGTTTTTTCCATGAATGAAATTACCAAGGACCATGAACTTAGGGGGGAAAAAAGACAAAAAAAAACATCAAAGGGAATTTACAGCGATTATTTATCTTCAAAGTTCAAAACTGGTCACTTCACAGAAAAACTGCAGGGACTGGTGAAATTTTTGCTTCTAAAAAGTGATCCTGTAGTGGAGAATTTTCTAGGAAAAATAAAACAGCTTTTAGTAACTGGCCCGCTGGTGTGAGAGCTACCGTGGAATAAATTAGCACAAAAATGGAAAAAAAGTCTTATAACTGTTCACTGTTACAGACATAATCAACAAGGTCAGTCACTCTTAAAAGTTCATCCTCTTCTTCTTCTGGTGCCCCTGCCTCCTGCCCACCACCCGTCCCATTGGGTGCTAAGCTGGCATTGGCTGTGCTGTCCTTGGGGGCTTGAGATTTTTCAGATGGTTTGCCAATTAAGTTCTCAATAGCCTTGCCAGGGCTCTGTCCGTTGGCAGAAGGCAAGTCCACTAAGCTATAGTCCAATGGGCTTTCCACTTTCCCAACGTTTTCAAAGTCTTCTTCCTCATCACTGTCTATCCTATAGGGCTTCCTGGTATGGTCATGCTGCCCATGTGATGCCGAGTGCTTGCTGGCTGCTGCATGCTGCTCCACAGCATCATCAGCAGCATTCTCACCATTTTCTTCCTCATCTGTCTCAATACGATGCAGTCGTTTTCGGGCAGGTGGGCCTTCCTCCTCCTCCTCTGCTTCTGAACAGTCATTCGTGTTTCGACCTCGCTTCCGAACGGATCGCTGAGATTCTTTAGCTGGCTCATCATCATCAGAATTCTTGGACATGTAACTCTCTGGAACAAGTAGCAGACTTATAACCATTAGCAAATCAGATGGCAAATAGATTCTTTAAATTGCTCCCCCCCTTTGCCTCATTCAATTCATAAATACAACTACTTATTAAGCCCCTACAATGTGCAAATCACTGTCCTAGGCATTGGGAAAGCATACAAAGTTTTAAACGTGCTATTTCCCCCTAAGAAGTTTACAATATAGTAAACAAGAAGGGACATTTAGTTCCCTATCCTTCAATTATCTTTCATAGAAACTATTATATACTATCTTTGTGACAATTCACGAGAATTGTCAAGAATTATCCCAATTTTCTTTTGCACACCCCCACCCCCACACTACTAAGTCTAATAACTCAGAAATCTTGTACTTTGACTCCAAATCTGGGGCAAGTTTGTATGTGACTTCTTTCATAGCCAACTGGTTTTTTCAGTGAACTGACAGAAATGATGATGACTGTATACTAAGAGGTCCTTTCTCTTTCTCTAGTCCTCAAAGTAAGAAAAAGTGTTGCATATACAATTACTACATCATAAGCTCCCCAGGGGCAAGGAATATGTCTCAGTTATCTTTGAATCCTCTGCAGTGCCCAGCACAGTGCACTACATAGTAGGCACTTAATAAATGTTTGTACGCATTTTAAATAAATATCTGTGCAAAACTCAGATCCTGATGGCTGGGAAGCAGGGTAGAACTAGACACCAAATTCAAGGGGACTACATGTTATTATATAGAAAGAACATTCAACTCAGCATGGAAACTTTAATTACATATCTTTAAATCCTCATAGAGAATATACATTACTATGCCAAATCAGTGTTTTTAACCACTTAAGGAAAGAACAGTTTACTATATGTGGTGAAATGGCAACACTGGGAAACAACGGAATAAAAAACAGGGAATTGCATTCTGTTGACTTTTTCTCAATTTTATAACCAATTCAGCAAATGCTCAACTAATGATATTAATGGAGGGGAGAAGTAGTACAGACAAAACAACTTAATTCAACGTCTAAATGCTGAGTATGTGCAAGGCACAATGGATAATGTAAAATTTATTTGTTTTTGGAGCGCAGATATATACGTACTCCCCAAAAGACATTCAACTCTTCTAAGTCCAAAATACCTCATACCTAATTTTCTCATGGATTGTTCTGTTAGCAGATCAGGACCCAAAAGGGCAGTGGTTGGGTGGGGGTGGAGTTTGGGAGAAAGGAAAATGGAAGGACAAAAACAATCCAATAGATTTCAAATAATTGGAAATTTACAGCATAAGAAAAAGGCTGAATCCATTAGTGTTCAAAATAAGTTCCTAAAAAGTTGTCAACAAACTGTTTCAGGCCTCTTAAATATCATCATCTCACATTTTCGTCACTTTATGATTATGTAATTTTATATCTGGAAGAAATATTTAAAGTTATCTAGCTTTATAGTTTACCCTGCTGACTACCCATTTTAAAAAAATGTACAAATATAATTATGAAAATATTTAGCTCAAAGAAAAAAAGACTTTGAGAAGACATAATCTGTCTTGCCTTGAATCCTGTCTTCCCCCACAATCCCTACATCAGCTCAGAGTACCCAGAACCTATCTGGCCTGCCAGATAGCTCATAAGGCTTAGATGAGATGGAACCAACAACTGTTCCTTCTCTGGAGACCACTAGGCCTTACTGTTTGTACTGCAACTAAAGTCCTCCTGCCCTTACCTCTACTGCATGCAGAACTCTAGCACTGTAATTTGACTTACTGACATCGCCAAAAAATCTCTAGGCTTTGCCATCAGCCCCACAACCGGGCCCATAGGACTTCTGGGTTTCTCCAGGTACCCTTTAGCTGAACTCTCCTCCTCCTATTAGAATGTGAGGTCTTTGAGAGCAGAGCTTATACCACATTTTCTATTGGTCTCCCTACCACTCAGCACACAGGGTTTGGCACATAGTAAGCACCCAATAAATGCCTTTTCCTTCATGAATAACGCTTCAAGTAGATACTGCACTAAATTATTCCTAACAGTCCATCGAATTCTGGGAATCTATAATTCTACAAAGTAAGAACACTAACATCCCATTTTATCCACCATAGGTGTGAAAAACAGTTGCAATGCCTGGGGTTTTAAAAAGATGATTTAACCTCTAATTAAAACTATATGATTTTAAGCAAGAAACAAAAGCTAGAAACTTGTTCTGTAGTTTTTTTATCTACCTTATTTACTGGAAGCATCTGTAATTTTATCAGTGTGAGCACTTCTTCCAGCAAGCAAATTATCAGCACATCTATGAGTTGGTAAATGGCATTTAAGAGTTATGGCCAAAAGAATCCATCACAGTGTGACCAACCTACTGAGGAGCCTCTCTGATGTTTTCCAGGCTTCCTAGAGAGAGTATATATTACCCGGGCTATACTCACAGCCCTTCCAGAACTGTAGGACCTAGAGTAGGCTCTGGATTCTGCTTACACAGCCTTTGAGATGACACGGCAGAAAAGTCCAAAACAATCACATCACAAAATAGTATGATAAAAATATAGTTAGTAACCAGGAAAACCAAGAAGTTCAATTTTATGAAAAAATCTTATGGCATGTCTCATCATAAGCTTGCTTTACTCTTCATGTCTTACTTGGGGCTAATATCCCACCTCCAATCAAGTTTCAATAAATAGATATCCTATTCCTTACCTTCACTATCTGAGCTGGAAAGCCTGCGTTTGTGAACTCGTCTCATTTCTTTCCCATATCTGAAGCTCTTCTGGGAACCATCACTTTCTGAGTCTTCCTTATAGTTAACCTGTCTTTTCTGGTTTCTTCTTGACCTTCTCCGTCTAGTTTCCAGATAATCTTCACTGTAATCACTATAATCACTCTCTGTTTAAAAGGATGTCGAATAAAACAACAATAACAAAAAGAGAATCCTATTAGTTTTTATTAAAATTAGAAATTTTGTACATTAGAAACTACAACTTTCACTGTTATATAAAGTGAATGCCGCTAAAAGAGTCATTTATCTTTAGATATGCTGTCAAACATCAATAATTTATACATGTTGGTTAACATCATTCAATAAATGCGTATAAAATTAAACAACAGATTCCCTAACCAACTTGGACATGAAACATTAGAACCTTCAAGTACTTACTTGGAGAGTTTCTGGGACCAAAATGCTGCCAGATAAAGAGTGAGTCCAGGGTGGGGCCAAAATGGTAGAACAGAGGCAGCAACCCAGCTGAACTCTCCCAATATTCCTTTCCAAACAACTTTACAATAACATCAAATCGAATTCTGGAGTGGCATAGCCACCAACAGGTCATACTGAGAAATTTTTCCAACTGAGACAAATTAAGAGGTACACAGGAGAGGTAGAGGTCAACCTGCAGCCCATGTGTTAGCAATACCAGCAGCGGGCCTTGGAGCCAGATGTGGTAGCAGCAATAGCAGCAGCAACTTCTAGGTTTCTCAGTCCAGAGACGGTAAGGGGACCCAACAACTGGTCAGAAAGAGATTACAAGAGATTCTGAACTGAACCTGAGTGCTGGGCCCAGGCACTGTGTGGAAACTCTATTGCCCATAAGAGTTCTGGGTCACAATTCCAGGGTGGAGAGGAGCACTTGTGGGCAGTCACAAGGGAACAGAAACCCTGGTCACAGTTCCAGGGCCAAGAAGAACATTAATACTTTTGGCTGCAGGGAAGCAGGGGCCCTTCCTGGGTGAAGACTAGAGTATAAATCAGGACAGCAGTGACGACACCTCTCCCCCAGATAACAGCACCCTGGAAGCATAAAAAACTTGCAGTCCCCCAGGACTAGCTCTGAAAAGAACTGCTTGAAAAAACGCTGCAGCTTGAGACAGTGCCTCACCACCTCAAAGGTGAGCAGAGCCCAACTTTAAGGGATTAAAAGTGGCAGAGAAAAAACTGGGAAATGAAATGAATGATGTAAGAAAAGAGAATTAACAATTTGGTAAAAGAGGCACAAAAAAATACTGAAGAAAGTAACACCTTAAAAAGCAGAATTGGCCAAATGGAAAAAGAGGTATAAAAGCTTAGTAAAGAAAATAATTCCTTAAAAATTAGAATTAGGCAAGTGGAAGCTAATGACCCTACGAGACTTGAAAAACAATAAAACAAAGTCAAAGGAATGAAAAAACAGAAAAAAATGTGAACATTTGAAAAACAAAACTGACCTGGAAAACATATTGAGGAGAGATAATTGAAGAATTTTTGGACTATCTGGAAAGCTACGGGGAAAACAAACAAACAAAACTGCCTAGACATCATATTTGAAAAAACTGTAAAGGAAAACTACTTTCATGTATTAGAACCAGAAGGGAAAATAGAAATTAGAATCCGCTGATCACCTCCTCAAAGAGTTCCCAAAATGAAAACTCTCACAATTATAGCCAAATTCCTAAACTCCTAGGACAAGGAGAACTGCAAGCAGCTAGAAAGAAACCATTCAAAAACAATGGAGCCACAGTAAGGATTACACAAGACTTTGCAGCTTCCATGTTAAAGGAGTGGAGGGCTTGGAATATGATATTCCAGAACACAAAGTAACTAGACTTGCAACCAAGAATAATCTACCCAGCAAAATTGAGTATAATCCTACAGGGGGGAAAATATATACTTAATGAAATAGAGGACTTCCAAGCATTCCTGATGAAAAGACTAGAGCTGAACAGAAAATCCAACATTCAAGCACAAGACTCAAGAGAAGCATAAAAACATGAATATGAAAAGAGAAATCATATTAATTTGAATCAGTTTCCTATGTGTCTTAGTTACATGTCTGTTGTAAAGATCAAATGAGATGTCTGTAAAATACTTGGCAAACCTTAAAGTGCTAAATATATTTGACAGATGAAAAGGGATTGGACTGGTGATGTTGGTAGAGGGATGAGGAAACTTGTTTCTACTCCAAAACAAAGCAGCTGCTTATCTGTAAGTCAGAGTCTTAAAGAGCTGTTTTAAGCACTGAGAGGTTAAAGGACTTGCCAAGGATCACATATAGGTCAGAATAAGCAGGTATACACCAGGTGGTCCTAGAAGGCTCTCCAACCACCATGCAAGATGGCTTCTTACATACTTTATCATGGGGAACTTTTTTTATTATTATTATTGTTCATGAACAGGCCTTAGCACACCTTAGCTTGATTTGATGGTAGAAGAAGACCTGGGTTCCAATCCCAGTTCAAATTTACTATCTATCATATTTTAGGCAACTTGGTTTCCTTATTAGCAAAACAGAAGAGGTCTGGAAAATCACAAAAGACATGCCAGAATAGTCTGATTATGTAAAATTAATAAAATTTTACATGAGTAAAATCAATGTGGTTAGAATAAGAAATGTCATCCTCAGAATTCTACCAATTTTTTAAAGAAAAATTTCTACTCAATATCCCACAAATTATTCCTTTCAAATCACCTCCGTTCCAAATTTCCCCCAAGTTTTAAACTTTCTTTTGAAGTCAACTGCCATTTCAGTCTCCCAAATTTGTAACTTCAGTGCTCAACAACTCCTGATTCTCCTTCCATATATCCAATTAGTTATTTTTTCAAACTGCAAAGGATTTTTCACCAACAAATTTTTTATTTCATTAAATATTTCTCAATTACATGTAAGCATTTTTTAATATTTGTTTCTAAAAAATTCTGAGTTCCAAATCCCTCCTCTGCCCCCTTGAGAGAGCAAGCAATTTGATATAAATTATACATGTGAAGTCAGGCAAAATGTATTTCCACGTTAATGATATCGCAAAAGAAAACAGACTAAAAAAAAGTAGTAAAAAGACAGTAGAAAAAAGTTTCAGTCTGTATTCAGACTCATCAGTTCTTTCACTAGATGGTGAATAACATTTTTCATCATATGTCCTTCAGAACTGTCTTGGATCATTGTCTTGATCAGAATAGCCAAATGCCTCACAGCTGATCATTATTATAATATTACTGTGTACAATGTTCTCCTGGTTCTGCTCATTTCCCTTCTCTTTACTGTTTATCTTCTTATACTTGAGTCTTGTATTTGAAGTCAAATTTTCTATTCAGCTCTGGTCTTTCCATCAGGAATGCTTACAAGTCCTTTATTTCATTAAATATCCATTTTTTCCCCCTGAAGAATTATACTCTATTTTGCTGGGTAGGGTTATAATCCTTTGTCCTCCAGACATCATATTCCAAGTTTTCCAATCCTTTAATGTGAAGCTGCTAAGTCTTTTGTTATCCTGACTGTGGCTCCACAATATTTGCATGGTTTCTTTCAGGCTGCTTGCGATATTTTCTCCTTGATCAGGGAGCTCTGGAATTGAGCTATAATATTCCTGGAAGTTTTCATTTGGGGATCTCTTTCAGGAGGTGGTGAGTGGTAGATTCTTTCAACTTCAATTCTGCCCTCTGGTTCTAAAATATCAAGGTAGTTTACCTGATAATTTCTTGAAATATGTGTAGGCTTTTTTTTTTGATCATGGTCTTCAGGTAGTACAATTATTCTTAAATCATCTCTCCTCAATCTATTTCCTAGGTCAATTGTTTTTCCAATGAGAGAGTTTGCATTTTCTTCTATTTTTTTTCATTCTTTTGATTTTGTTTAATTGTTTCTTCATGTCTCATGAAGTCATTAGCTTCCACTTGCCCAATTCTAAATTTTAAGGAGTTCCTTTTCTTCAGTGAATTTTTGTACCTCTTTTTCCATTTGGTCAATTCTGCTTTTTAAGAAATTCTCTTCAGTGGATTTTTGTGCTTCTTTTACCATTTGGCCTATTCTCTTTTTTTAAGGTGTTATTTTCTTCAGTATTTTTTTGTACCTCTTTTACCAAGGTGTTGACTTTTTTCTTTTTCTTCAATATGTCTTTTTATTTTTAAAATTAAGCTTTAATGTATTTACAAAAATGTCCTCTGGTAATTTACAAATTGGGGACACAAATTCTTTCTTACTATAATGGCAAAGCAGAAAAATTCCATCTATGCTATAAAAACACAATTTGAAAATTTCAATTAAGTCGCTTCAAAAGGGACATAAAATGTTATATCATGTACTTGATATCTTTTTTTAAAAAACAGTATTTTTCCAGTTACATGTAATGACAATTTTTAACATTCATTTTTAAGTGAAATTTTGAGGTCTAAATTTTCTCCCTCCCTCAGACAGTAAGCAATTTGGTATAGGTTATATATGTGCAATCATATAAAACATATTTCATATTAGTGTTGACTATTTCCTTGTATCACTCTCATTTCTTTCCTCAATTTTGCTTCTACCTCTCTTATTTGATTTTTAAAATCCTTTTTAAGCGCTTTGAGGGATTCTTTTTTTTGAGGCCTGAGAACAATTTACATTTTCCTTTGAGGCTTAGTACATAGCTATTAAAGCTTTGTTGCCTTCTTCTGAGTTTGTGTTTTGACCTACTTTGTCACCACAGTAACTTTCTATGGTCTTTTTTTGTTCTTTGCTCATTTCCCAGCCTATTTCTTGAATTTTTACTTTTATGTTAAAGTTGGGCTGTGCTCCTACGGTAGAGAGGGCATTATCCCAAGGTTCAGATTTTTCATACTGCTGTTTTCAGAACTAGTTCTGGGGGTCTGAAGGTTTTTAGTTCTTTCAAGGTGGTATGATCTAAGGAGAGGTGTAATCACTTCTCTCTTGGTCTATGTTCCGGTCTGTGAGGAAGTGTGACCAGGGTCCCTGCTCCTGTTAGTGTACCTCTTGGTCCTGGGAATTCAACCTGGACCACGTATGGGCAATGTAACAGTATCCTGGACCAAATGCCAGCAAAAGGTCCCGTTTTTCTTACCAGTTGTCCGACCCCTTTACTGTCGGTGGACTGAGAGCTCAGGAAGCTGCCTCTACTGCTGTAGCAGCCACTGCCCCCAAAACATGGTGCTGTCTTGCTGAGATGTGTGGCCTGTATTGCACTCCACTCTCACCCTGGTGTGACAGACCTTTCCTGCCAACCTTTCACCCAGTCCTTGTGTCGGTTCTGCTGCTCAGAATTCATTCTCAGGCATTACTTACAAAGTTGTTTGAAGGGGAATTTGGGAAAACTCAAGCAAGTCCCTCCCTTTACTTCACCATCTTAGCTGTGCCCCCACGAAGCCTTTTCTTATCCCAACTGTTCGTGGCTCCCCTTGATAATGACCTTGCATTTAACTACTCTGCTATAGGCAGCTAGGCTGCACAGTGGATAAAATCAGTGGAGCTGGAGTCAGGAACACCTGAGTTCAAATTCCAACACTTAGTATGCAATCCTGGACAAGTCACTTAACCTCACTGCCTCAGTTTCCTCAACTGTAAAATGGGGGTATTAATAGCAGCTACCTCATAAGGTTATTGTAAGGATCAAATGAGGTAATATATGTATGGTGCTTTTTAAACCTTAAGGTGATAAATAAATGTCAACTATCATTATTTGTAAATATTCTCTTATTTTGTATGTACATGTGTACTCATGAAGAGTTGGACATGACTGCAAAATGACCAAATAATAAATGAAAGTCTATTTGTGTAGTACATGGATGCAAGATCCAGGAGAGTAGCAACTATTTCATTCTTTACCCTTGTATCACCAGTGCCTAGCACGGCACCTAACAGCACATATTATGTACTTAGGAAATGTTTATCAATTAACTGACAGCAGGGTCCTTTTCATAAGGAGTAAGTATGGTAAATAGACTTCTTCCTGTCTACAATTTTAATGAGAGTCAAGATGTTACAAATGTTAGAGAATGAATATCCTCAAATGAGAAATTTTCCTTCAAATATTGATAAGATGCAGTCTGTTCATGGAAACATCTACTACTGACCTGGTTCAACAGTCACAACTCTTTGTTGTGCACTATCAGCCAGAGGCACATCCAGTACACACGTGGACTTTGCAGGACAGAACTGAGAATCCCCATCTTCTGTGAGCACCATCAGCACTCAGCTAAACTCTTAGGCCCTACACCAGTGATTTTCAATTTAATTCAATTGACATTATGCAACCTCCTGTGTGTAAGATACTGTGCCAGGACACAAGGATGTATGTGTCTACTGGAGTGTACATCTTTCCCCCCAAATTAGGCTGTAAACTCTCTGAGGTTCAGGGAACATGTTACTTATTTCTGTAGCCCAAAGAGCTTGGGACATGGTAGATGCTTAGTTAATGTTGGCAGAATATAACCGAATTAAAAATGTAGGAACTAAAGATAGAAAATATGCCTGGAACAAAAGAAATCTCATACTATATCTGAACATTTCAGAATGAAGTCTTTTCTTATCTTAGGCATTTTTAAATTATAAAGCTAAGACACATTGGTGTGGGATGAAATGCTGATACAAGAGTGATTCCTACCAGATGCTCTGCTATTCTCCTCAGAGTCTTCCTCTTCATCATCATCAGAGTACTTTTTCTTCACTGTCTTTCTTCTCAAACGCCTGCTCTGCCTCATTGGCTTGGAGTGGTGTCGCCGGGGTCTTCGGGCACAGAATTCGGTGTCACTGTCATCATTTGATGGCTGTTCTTCACTCTCATCTGGGTTCTCCTCTGACACAACAAACTCATCCTGAGATCTGTTCAAGAGGCGAAAATTATGGACAATAAAGAATGGATTGGGAATGTTTGCTGAGAAAACTTGCCAAGACCTGAGAGATCTAGTTTCAATTCCCAGCCCTTGTACTAATTTATTATGCCAACTTTAGCATTAGGAAGGGTTCTAACATGAACCAGTCATCATGTGCCTGAATTTTCTTTCTTGTATAATCAGGAAATTAAGTAAAATGGGAATAACATAGTCAAGCTACCTCCCCATCAAGTGAGATGGTCCACATAAAGTACTCTGAAACTATAAACATGCTAGATTCAGATATAATTGCCAGATTTTAAGTGCCTGGGAGGCATACATTGTTTTATTTTTCTCTGTTGTCCAATTCAATGCAAAAAGCCCAAACAAATAAAAAACATGGCAAAAAAACTCCCAAACCCATTTATGGAATATATCTCCTGTACACAGGGCATGTGCTATAAATACAGGTGCTAAGGCAACAAATGAGAAAGAACAGATCATTCATCTAAGAAAATTTATAACCTAATAGGAAAAAAAGATATTTACACAAATAAGCATATTAATATTTAGAATGTCATAAATGAAGAGGAGAGATTCAAAAGAAAGGTACAAGGGATTTGAGGAAGGGAAAAACATCACTTCTAGCACAAGCTAATTAGTACAGTGCCTTACAAATAATGGGTGTTTAAGAAATAGTTGGTTAACGGCTAACAAATACCTTTAAGTGGCATAGTTGCATCTATGGTGGTTAATTAAAGTGGGACAAAAGTTTAAAAACTGAAGCAGTTAATTCAAGACTGATTCTATCACACGTCTGAGGCTGGATTTGAACTCAGGTCCTCCAGACTCCAGGGTTAGTAATCTATCCACTGCACCATCTAGCTGCCCCCAAGACTAATTTTTATTGCAATGTACAAAGAATAAAGAGCTTTAGCTTCTCTGATAGTTCAAGTTCTCTTTCTACTCCATATCAGTAAGAACTGGCCCACGAGGCCTCTGAGCATCTCTGGCTGGGTCACTGCTGGACTATACCAGTGACTCTGTCTCTCCATTTCCAGCTTACCCATCACTGATCTTGAATTCATCCTCACTCTCCTCTTCATCCAGATTGCTGTCACTATCAAGGTCATTTAGCCGCCGCCGTTTCTTCCGTCGAGCAGCAGCTGCCCGCTGTGGCCGCTTACTTTCTTTCCTTTCTTCTTCCAAAATGGTTGAGATGTCTTTCCCTCGGTGACCTGTAATGGTGGAAATATCTTTTCCTCTGCCAATTCCTATATCAAAGAAAGGAGAAAAAAGTGAAGAAATGGAGCATTCACAGTTTATCTTTTACAAAAAAATACCTCATCTTCCTCTGCGACCCTTCACCCCCCCCCATTTCAACCAATAAGCAGCTTTCCCACTACTTCAGCCTACTGAACCAGACCTAGTATTTATGCTGTAACAAGACAGTCAAGAAAATGTCAAAGAATGGCTGTTAGTAGCTGCCTCTAGTTATGCCAAACAAACCTGTTTATTATAGAGAAGGCTTGGCCACCCTGCACCGGACTGACTAATAACAATAGCAAACAGATGGCACTTTCATGTCTGTGAAGCTTTAAAAAGATGATCACAATTCAGACTTGCAATAACCCAATGAGAAGAGCACTATAGGTAATAACATCCCTATTTCACAAATGACGAAACTGAGGCACAGAGAGGTTAAAAGACTTGACAGTGGTCACAAAGATAATGATCATCAGAGATGAGATCTGAAATCAGGTTAGTTCTCAGTTTACTAGGCAATATTATCCCTGAAAATGAAAAACAATAAAAACTCAGCTGGTAAATCTGTAATGCTGCTAACAAATTTAATTAAGTCTAAGTTTTGTTCAAAAAATGGCAGACTCCCTTGGCAAGGCCATTTCCACCTCTGCTGCCTTTCAGTTAACCTACTTGGTAGACAGGTCTTTTGAGAGCTTTCCTGTGAATGGACCTGGTGCCATTATACTCTAGCTAGACAACACAGGCTGATGTCATCTCTAGTTTATAAGTCTGGTTATCTGACAGAAGTTAAAAACAAACAAACAACCATTTATAGTCAATAGAAGTGACCCCATCCTTCACAAGATTATGAAGTGAGACAAAGAAACTGTCAATGTTCAAGGACCTGGCAGTAAAAAGAAAAGCACTTATATTGAACAGGGCATGTTTTCATCAATAGACTCTACTGTCTTTCTCTAAATGAAGAGGCCAATAACAACCAATAGCAGGAATACTCCAATGTTAGCAACCTGGTCAGGCTACCTGCCTCTACTTGGGGAAGGCAAGTTATTGTTGCATAAATCTGGGTTGGCTCCACAACTGGAACACTCACACCACCATCCATTATATAGATATCAACATTGCTTTTTGGAATGTGATTCCCGCACACTTTGGGTTGTTTTGTCTCTCTGAATCCACACATTGCGTATTCACAAGGAATAATGGGTGTCTCTCAGAAGCGGATGTATTGGTCTTTGTTGATGTCTGAGAGAAAACCAGAAGCTGTCCTGAGAGGATCAGATTACGAGAGGCAACTATGATCGAGTCTCTTAATTCATTAGGTACCCTTATAGTAACTACTCCAGTCTTTTATTGTAACAAAACTTAACAGATCCTGATTATGAGAGCCTTGATTATGAAATCAAGATGAAAAACAGATTATCTAAAAGTCACCAATGAGCTTTTCTGAAAACAAATACTCTAAATCAACACACCTCATGTGAAAACTTTCCTTTGATTTTCCACTTGGGGGAAAAAGTAAACACTTTTAATATTTATAATGAAAATATAGAATTTAGAACCAGCCATAGAACAAAAACTCCCTCATAATAAATAAAGCCTGGTTTTACACTTTTAACAATAATCAGGAGTATTTAATTTGAAAATGAGATTGCTCATCATATTATACACACTAGTAACATTTACTATATAATATTTAAACCTGTTGTCCTTTTCCAGGGTATGTGGAGTATATTTTCGACAGGGCTGAAAATAATAGAGACATACCCCCTCCATCAGCTTCTTTGATATCATCTTCAATGGCTTCATCAATTGCCTCATCAAATTCATCAAATCTAAAACAATCACATAATGTTTACATTAAAACTTGGACATAATTTATATAAATAACTAGAATTTCATGGTTTGAAATCGTGTTTAAAAAACTATCCCATTTTATTGATGCGAGAACCTAACCTAAATATAGTTAAGTAACTTGCCCAACATTACATATCTGGTTAACAGTAGAGATAAGAGAAAAACCCAGCCTGCCCAACTCACAGCTGTGTGGTCCTCCCCTTCATTCTATTGTGCATGCTTTATGAAACACTCTCCCCTTACTTACAGTTAGGGAATACGTGAAGAGCTTCATGCATGACCGAAACAAAAGAAAAGAACTTTAGAAAGAAAAGGCTAGTGGGAAATGAAGACCCATAAATGTGCTCTTTCAAAGAAACAAAGATGGTGTCTTTGCATTTTGGAAATATCTCCAGAAGTAAAAGTTAACACAAGTTATGATGTGGATACCACCTTCCTTTAATTAATATAAACATCTTGTTGATCATTTAAATGTTATTTTGCCTCTTCTTGAGTATTATGTGCAAAAGAATACAGCTTCACTTGAATTAACTTGCATTTTTATAGTGTTGAAGTTTTACAAGATAATTTCTTTATAACTCTGTGAGGTGGCAGGGCAAATTTTATCACCATGTCACAGATAAGGAAATTGAACCTCAGAGATGAGAAGATATGACTGGGGGTGGGGGGTGTTGTGATACAAGTTATGAGAAAGGTATGAATAGGAGAGATTGTGGACATGAACTCGAAAAGCTTTAGCAACTGACTGGATACTGGGGAGATGCATCAAGAGACTGTCAACCCAGGTGACTGAGAAAATAGTAGATGTTGGAGGATAGGCTTGATTAGGTTTTCATTTGGGACATGTTGAGTTTGAGATGCCTACGGGACATCCAAATTGACATGTGCAATAGCCCAGTAATAACATAGGTCAGGACAGTTCAGGAGACACTTAAACATTCGAAAGAAAGCTAGGTGGTACAGTAGATAAGGAGACCTGAGTTCAAAATGTTACATCAGAGAGAATTCAGAACTGAAAAAAAAATTTAATTAAAAAAAAATCCTGCCTCAGATACTTACTAGTGTGATTCTGAGCAAGTTACTTAATCTCAATTTTAGTTTTCTCACCTATAAAATAAAGATAACTGCACCTACCTCCCAGGGTTGTTATGACAGTAAAATGAGTTAATATATGTAAAGTGCTTCACAAACTTTACAGTCCTACGTAAAATTTAGCTATTTCATAAACATATATATTATGTGTGAGAATGTGCATGTGCGTGTGTATTTGGGAGTCATTTACATAGGAATGACATTCTAACCTATGAGAGCAGATGAAATCACCATGGAAGAGAAAACAGCGAAAAAAGGAGAAGGTTCAGGATGGAACCCTTCAACATAACCACAGACAAGAGATGGTCCAGCAAAGGAGACTGAGAAGAAGAAATCAGCCTGGTGGAACAGTCAAGAGAGTGTAGCATTAAGGAAGTCTAGGAAGGAATCTTCAGAAGAAAGAGCTAGTCAGGTAGTGTCAAGAGCTGCAGAGAGGTCATGGAAAATGAAGACTGAAAAAAGAATATTGAATTTAGGAGGTAAGAAATTGATGGTAACTTTTGAAAGAGTCAAGGAGTAAGCCTAGAATCCAAACTGTAAGGTGCTGAGGAGTGTAAGGGGTATGAGCAAGAGGGGGCAGTGAATAGAAAAGATTCTTTCTAGGAGTCTGTCAGTAAAAGGGAAAACAGACATAGGCTGGTACCTTGACAGGATCACATAAGGTGGTGTAGTGCAGTAGAAATACTACTGCATTTTACGTCAGAAGAACTGAGTTCTGATATGATTGCATCTTAAAACCTGTGAGACCTAAGGAAAACTCCTTCACCTTGATCAGTTTTTTGAACTCTAAGATGAGAAGTTTGGATTTCATTACTACTAAGATTTCTTCTAAGTTTCTATGAAACTATGAAAAAAACACAGGGTAGACCAGAGCATTTTTGTAGGCAATAAAGGACCCAGAAGATAGAGTGACATTGAATATAAGGAGGGAAAGGAAATAATATGAGGAAAAAGAGATTATAGACAGAATAGGATAGAGAGCACAATCACAGGAGCTGGTGTTGGCGAAGGAAGAACCAACGTCTTCCTACTAGGTGAGGGTAAAAGGGGAAAGGAGAGTTGTAAAGATAGGAGAGAAGGAAGAAGAAATTGAAGTTTGAAAAAGGAGAAATGAAGGTGCTTGCAACATATGGCCCACATTTTCTCGGTAAGGTGGGAGGTGAAGATATCTGAAGAGTAGAGCAGGAAATGAGCATAAGAAGTATGATAAAATTTAAAATATCGTTGCTAAGTGTGATTGAAAATCAAATAAGAATAAAAAAGATTTCTCCACATGAATTTTGTTATCATTGTATCTGCTCTATAAGCTCTCCTTTGGGTAGCCTGATCTGGTAGAGCATTAAAACTGTACATTAACTTTAATGATATTGTCATTTTTATTATATTGGTAAAGCAGGCACAGCCATAAACATTAAATATCATTGCAGCTATTTATTTTATGCATTTTGTAGTTACTTTGAATAAGATCACCCAATTATCGCTTTTGGGATTATGTTATTTTATAGAATTTTTTTTTATTTTTGTCAGATTATTTTCAGCAACTTTACTGACGTTGTCTCAACCACTTTCTTTGCTGATTCTCTAGAATTTTATAAGTCATCATGTCATCAGAAAATAGGGACAGTTTTCTCTCTTCTCTGCCTTTAAGTCTTTAGTTTCTTTCTCTCTTCTTACTGCTATTGTTAGTATTTCTAGAACTTTATCAAATAATAATAGGGAAAGTGAGCACCTTTGCTTTATCCTTGTATTTGCTGGGAAAACTTCAGGAATAGAGGTTCTTAACCTAGCCCAGAGATCCCCAATGCACTCAGAGATTTCAGGAGATTGTGGATGGGAAAAATTACATCTTTTTTTTCACTAACCTCTGAATGAAATTTAGCATTTCCCTTAACTTTTAAAAACATTATTCTGAGGAGTCCAAAGACTTCACCATAACACCAAGAGTCCATGACACAAAAAATGCAAAGAATCCCTATTTTAAGGGCAGCTAGGTGGCACAGTGGAGAGAACTCCAGCCTTGGAGTCAGGAGGAACTGAGTTCAAATCTGACCTTAGACACTTGACACTTACTAGCTGTGTGACCCTGGGCAAGTCACTTAACCCCAATTGCCTCACAAAAAAGCAAAAAAAAAAATTTTTTTAAAAATCCCTATTCTAGAGTATCACCATTGCAAATGATCTAATTCATTAGTAACATTGATCTGAATTTGTAAATATATATTCAGTTCATTAGTGCTTTCTTTTTCTATTCTGCTAATGTATATTTTTAGGGATATAATTTTTCCTCTGACTGAATAACACTGTCAAAGTTAATTTACAGACTCAGAACAGTACTTAAACTTCCAAAGGGAAATCCTACAGAGTTAAATAAAATGCTACAAAATTCATTTAAAGGAACAAAAGATCTAGGATATCAAGGGAAATAATGAAAAAAATGTAGGAATGAAGGAAGAATAGCAATTCCAGACCTCAAATTACATTATAAAGCACTGAAAATCATTTACTATTAGTTAAAACCAGAAAAATACAACAATGAAACAAAATTAGACAAAAGAGAAATGGAACAACAACAGCCTACTGTTCAATAAACCTAAAAGTGCAAATCATTAAAAGAACTCATTTATATTTGTTAAGGTTGCCGGGAAAATTGCAAAGTAGTCTGGCAAAAATTAAGTTCAGGTGAATATATTAAAACAGATTCAATAATAAATTCAAAATGGATACATGACCTGAATATTCAAGATCATATCATTTAAAAAAAAAAGAGCACATATCTTTCACAGCTATGGGTAGGAGATGAATTCTTAACCAAACAAGGAATGGAGATCATTACAAAGAATAAGAGATAATTCTGAATACCTGAAATTGAAAAGCTTTTGTGCACACAAAAAATTAAGGCACCTAGGATAAGAAGGGAAGCCATCGCCTGGGAAAAAAATCTGTGTACCAAATTTCTTGGATAAGGGTTTGGTATCTAAGATATATAGACAACAAAGAGAAATACAGAAAAACAAAAGCCATTCCCCAACACAGAAGTGACAAAAGGACATAAACAAACAGTTCTCAGAAAAATTGCAGACAAAAACCATATGAAAGAATGTTTCAAATCACTGATAAAAGAAACACAAAGCAAGGAACCCTAGGTTTTACCTGGCACCTAGCAAAATGGCAAAGATGACAAAAGTTAAGTCTACAGGGGTCACTGTGGGAGGGGGTGTGAAAAGAGAGGAATATCACTGCAGCCATTTAGAAAGTAATTTGGAATTATGTGAAAAAAGTGACTAAAACGTACAGACCTTTTGACTCAGGGGCTCCAGGATTAAGAATATACCCCAAGGGGGTTGCTGACAAAAAGAAGGGTTCACTATACATCAAAATATTTATAGCAACACTTTCTTTGATAGCAAATGAAAATATCCACTGAGTGTGATAACAAATGTAATGGAATATCACTTTCCATTATATGGAAAGTCTCACATGAACTGATGCAAAGTAATATAGGGAGAGCCAGAGAAATACACATAAGGATTACAACACGGAAATGGAAAGAATAACAACTACAAAAGAAATGAAAATGAACATTGCAAAATTACAAAGAATAAGTTTGACTCCAGAGTAGAGAAATGAGAAGACAACTCCCTCCAAGCCCTTTGCAATGGTGGCAGGGTCCATGTATATGCAACATTGCATGTAATTCATTTCACTGCATTATTTTTTTCTCTTCTACCTCCATTTCTTTTTCCTAAAAATGTTCTTTGTTACAAGGGATGGTTCTCAGTGGGGAGGGGCACAGGAGGAAATGAAAAGATTAAAAGAATTGTCTGTGCAGCTGTGAGGGCCCAGCAGAGAAGAAAGTATGAACTAGTTAGTGTCCCAGTGCAGAGGCACAATTTTCATCAGAAGCATTTGGCAAATTAAGAGGTGAAGAAGGCTGACAGTGGGTGGGAGTGATTCAGGCATGAGGAAGTAATGGCAGGAAATGAATGACAGAGGGCAATGTTCAGCTGAACTGGTTAATTGTAAAGGGAGTTAAGTGAGAAGAGAATGAGGGCCATGGACTAGGAGAGATACAAAGAACCGAAACTGCTGGGATGACGAAGAATGAGCATTTATTAAGTGTCTACTATATTTTAGGCACGATATTGGCACCTGAGATTAAAAAAAAACCCAAAATAATTTTTACTCAAAAGTTTACTATCTACTAGAGGAGATAATAACAACAACTAATATTTCTATAGCATTTATTATGTGCCAGGCATTGTGTGAAGCACTTTACAATTATTATGTCTTTTGCTCTTCCCAACAACACTAGGAGGCAAGGGCTGTTATTATCCCCATTTTACAGACAAGGTAAACAAAGGCTAAATGACCTAACCAGGGTCACAAAGCTAATATGGGTCTGAGACCAGATTTGAACATAGGTCTTCTGGACTCCAGGCCTAGCGCTTTATCCACTGCACCATCAAGCTGCCCAAATTAACAAATACATATAAATGTATATGCAGAAGAAATAGATACAAATAAATACAAGGTATTTAGGGGGGAAGGGAAATTGAGGGGGATCAACAACAGTTTCATAGAGAGGCTGCTTGAGCTGCATCTTGAAGGGATTGAGGTTAAAGGTAAGGAGGATATTCCTTATTCCCTTTCATTGAACTTCCACCACTTAAACAGTGTGTGGCATATGTAGGCACTTAATAATAATGTGTGTTGACTGTCTAATTGGCATAGGGCAAGCCAGTGCAAAGGCACACAGATGGGAGACCACATGTAGGCCAATCTGGCTGGCTGTTAGCAAGCATGAAGAGAAGTAATGTAAAAAAACAGACTTAGGAAGTGTCAGAGAGAAAGAGATCACAGGAGATTATGAGCAGTAAGAAGAATTTCACATTCAAAAGCATACAGACAGCACAAGTACATGAAATGCTGAGTCCTAAGGAATTATTGTTTTTGAGGATGGCTGTTAAGACAGGTCGTGGAAGTTGAGTGTACTAGTCAGCTAGCATGTTTATGCATTTTAGTTGCTCTGCATAAGGGAAGGGGGTGAGCAGGAAAGAAAACGACTAGGTACTAAATTCCTAAATAAAGGCAGGGGACTAATCTGGATGCATGTAGATGACAATCACAATAAGGGTGATACAAGTGAATGGAATGAACAAAAAGGAGGGTTAGCTGACTGATAGTGGCAGAGGGCTATTTGGATGCTAGGAGTATGCCAGGAGTCAGGTCTGTGTCCCCAGGTAAAGAATGAACTTACACATGGCCATAGCTCCTCAGCTGCACACCAAGATGGCTGAGGATGACACAGACTGAGAGAAATCAAATATGCACTTGGCATCAAAGCCCTTGGTCCTTTCCTTCAGGCAATAGGCATTGGATCTGAGACCCTGGTGAGGACAGCACCAAACTAGAAGGCCAGTTGCTTTAGCAAGAATTATATTCTTAATTCATGACCAAACAGGAGATAGAGAACATTATGAAAAGCAAAATGGATGATTTTGATTACATTAAATTGAAAAGGTTTTGCACAAACAAAGCCAATGCAACTAAGATTAGGAGGAAGGTAGAAAATTGGGAAAGAATTTTCACAACCAGTCTCTCTGATAAAGGCCTCATTTCTAAAATATAGAGAATTAAGACAAGCCATTCCCCAACTGATAAATGGTCAAAGGATATGAACAGACAGTTCTCAGATGAAGAAATTAAAGCCATCTATAATCATATGAAAAAAAATGCTCCAAATCATTATTGATTAGAGAAATGCAAATCAAAACAACTCTGAGGTACCACATCATACCTATCAGATTGGCCAACATGACAAAACAGGAAAATGATAAATGTTGGAGAGGATGTGGGAAAATTGGAACACTAATACATTGTTGGTGGAGTTGTGAAATGATCCAACCATTTTGGAGAACAATTTGGAACTATGCCCAAAGGGCTAAAAAAACGTGCATATCCTTTGATCCAGCAATAGCACTTCTAGGGCTATATCCCAAAGAGATCAAACAAATGGGAAAAGGACCCACATGTACAAAAATATTCATAGCAGCTCTTTTTGTGGTGGCCAAGAACTGGAAATTGAGAGGATGCCCATCAATTGGGGAATGGCTGAGCAAGTTGTGGTATATGAATGTAATGGAATACTATTGTGCTATAAGAAATGATGAACAGGCTGACTTCAGAAAAACCTGGAAAGACCTATATGGTCTGATGCTGAGTGAAGTGAGCAGAACCAAGAGGACTCCTGTACACAATAACAGCCACGTTATGCGATGACTACTATTGTTAAACTTAACCCTTCTCAGTATTACAAGGATCTAAGACATCTCCAGAGGCCTCAGGATGGAAAATGCTGTCCACATCCAAAGAAAGAACTATGGAAGTCAAATCGCTATCACTTATTTCTACCTTCAGTTGAGTTTTGTTCCATCTTTCTGATGGTTCCTCCTATTGGTTTTAATTTTTACTTAAAACTTCACTAATGTGAAAATACGTTTAATAGGAATGTAAATGTAAAACCTATATCAGATTGTGCGCCGTCGTGGGGAGGGTGGGGGGGGGAGGAAGGGGGAGAAAAATTTTCAACTCAAAAGCATATGGAAATGATTGTTAATAAATCAATAAATTAATAAAATTGGGGGGGAAAAAGAGAATTATATTCTTAGTATCTCCGGACCTCCTAAAGCAGTGAAGGTTCCTAGTGGAACCATAATCAAGTTTGTGAAGATAAATACCACAATCAAGTTCTCTTAAAATATTTCCACAAAATCAACACAGATTCCTCACCAAGGAATCTAGGTTGCACACATAGTTAAGTGTGTATGTATGGGCTTTTGGCAGGTTATACCAAGAGGTACAGTGAATGAAGGATTGGCAGTTTAGGCTTCTTCCACTGCACCACTCCCTCATAGCATAACATGAGGACAGCTGAAAAAAATAGGATGGGTCTGGAGAAGAAATATTTCAGGGATATATGTCAGTAGTCTTCATGAGACAATGTCATGGGTCTTATTCTGCTTGGCCCTGATAAGCAGCAGTTGTAGAGAAACAAATTTAGTCTTGATATTAGTAAAGACTTACTAACAATTAGAAATGTATCAAATGGAATGGAATGTCTCAGGAGAAGTGGGTTTTTCCTTATCTGAAGTCCTCAAAAAGAATGTCGGGGATCACTTTTTGGATTCCTTTTCCTCTTTTTTCTCTTTGAGATACAGGCCCTGTAGTGGTATTACTGGGTTAAAAGACTCACATAGTTTAATAACTTTGGGTGCACAGTTCCAAATTGCTTTCCAGAATGGCCCTATCACATTCAGCGGATTAATATTTAGGTATAGGTTATACTAACTAGCCTTTTAATGCTGAAATTCTGTGATTCTCATTCCCTGATCAGTGATGAAGTCTGTGAAATAAAGTCACAAAGAAACATACTACTGAACGTGCTACAAAAACAGTCAGTCCTTAGTCTTATAGGTCTTAACTGCAAAGAATCATGCAGCGTTTTGCAAGATAACCAGCATGCAAATCTTTAAGTTTTAAAGTTGTATGTGTTAATGGAAAGAACAAGAAACTTGAGATCAGCTGAATAAAGATTTTTATCTGGGTGTTGCCGCTACCAGGATGACTGACAAGGAACAAGTCACTTAATCTCACAGAGCCTCAACTCCCTTTTTTTGTAAAATGAGGGAGCTGGAGTAAGAGACTTACAAGGTTCCTTCCAACTCTAACATGCTACAAATAGCTAATAACAGATATAAATACAACTTTGATCCCTACAAGGAGGAGGCACACTGAGTTGATTCTGTAATAAAAAGGCCTTTCTTAGGATTTTTCCCCCTGCATTAAACCACGGAAACAAAATTTCCTACCTATAACTTATACACTTCCTTGTTCTTGTTGATCTCCTTTCAAGAAAGTGTGTTTTGGATTTTTTGGAATCTTTCTTCTTTTCTTCATGATCATCAGCTAATTCTGGTTCCTGTTTTAATAACAAAATATTGATTAGGTAGGTAATGCTCATGATCAAACAGAAATTTTACTTATAGCCTTCACAGGGTTCTAATATCTCAAAAAGATAAAACAAATGGGCAGTCTGTATACACATTATTTCTTACTTCTCTAAATATACCATGGATTTATATTTTCGTCTTTTTACAGACATGAACTGAAATTCCCTTCAGGGCCTTAGGAGATAAAATTGTTTCATTGAGTTGCTCTCACTAAAAAAAAACTGACCACTTTGCTAACCAACCCTATAATAATTAGCTTTTATTTAGCTTAACGAGGTCTGGCTAGTCCTTAGCTGAAAAACACATAGTCCATTGCTGGGCCATTCCTAAGGCCTTTCTTGCTTGGTAAGATTTGTGATCTGCTGGTTTAAGCTCTGAGAAACCAATACTGCCTTTAGACCATCTTGCTGTTAAAATCTCAGCAGTAATACTAAACAAAGATGAGATAGAAAACGTATGATCAAGTGAGGAAGATCCACTTATTTCAGGCCATTATACATCTGTGAGCTCATCATTTCTTGGACATACATTTGTTTGGTAGGTGGAGAAGAACTAGAAATGTACTGCAATAAAATTTGCAAAGATCATGTTCTTTCCACCATACCAAGCTTTAAAAAATTTACAGATATAAGCAACTAATCAAACTTTAAATTCCACAGCACCTTGCTTACTAGAGAAAGGTAAGAATCTTTAACAAGTGATCTTACACTGTCTTATCTAAAATTCATGATTTGTGAAGAATAAAAGGGAAACAGTTAAACTAGGAAAAAAATTTTTTGCAGTGAGTTTCTCTGATAAAGTCTCATTTCTAAGACATAGAAGGCACTGATTCAAAATTTTTAAGAATAAAAGCCATTCCTCAACTGACAAATAGTCCAAGGATATGAACAGAGGTTTTTTAAGTAAGAAATCTAAGTCATCCATTTGTTGTTGTTTCGAAATCATTTCAGTTGTATCTGACTCTTTGTGATTCTATTTGGAGTTTTCTTGGCAAAGACACTGGAGTCATTTGTCATTTCCTTTTCCAACCCATTTTACAGATGAGGAAACAGAGGCAAACAGTTAAGTGACTTGCCCAAGGTCACACAGATACCAAATATCTGAGGATGGATTTGAATTCATGAAGATGAGTCATCCTGAGTCCAAGCCCAGTGTTCTATCCACTGTACATCTAACTGAGTAAGTTATCTATACCCACATGAAAATGTGCCCCAAACTAAAGGAAAAAAGCACAAATGTTGGCAGTGCTGTGGGAAAAATAGGTACATTGATGTAATAATCATAAGAGCTAGCATTTGCATAATGATCTCAGGTTTGCAAAGCGCTTCATTCATAGGTTAACTCACTTATCTTGTTGGTGGAGCGATGAATTGGACTGGTCATTCTGGAAAGCAATATGGAACTACCCCCCCCCCCGGGTTACTTAACTATACCTGTTACCAGGCCTATATGCCCCCCCTCCCCCCCAAAAAAAGCAGGAAAAAGTCCTGTATGCACAAAAATACTTATAGCAGTTCTTTGAGGAGGTGTCTATCAACTGAGGAATGACTGAACAAATAACATTATATGAATGCAACAGAATACAACTGTGCTGTATAAAATGAATGGTTTTAGGAAAAATTTTAAGAACTGATACAGAGTGAAATGAGAACCATCATAATTTATACTATCAAAACTGTAAGAATGAACAACTCCAAAAGACTTAAGAACTCTGATCAATGCAATGAATAGCCATATTTCTAGAGAACTGTTCATGAAAATAGTTCACAATAGAGAAGAATGAGAAACATCTGAGACATGTTTTTGGATGTGGTCAATATGGGAATTTGTTTTGCTTGACTATTTGTTATTAGAGTTTCCTTTTTCTTTCTTTTTTTTTTTTCCAGTGGGGCTGGGGATGAGAAAATGCTTAATCACTGAAAAATAAAATAAAACTCATCAATCTAGTCAAGCCTAGAATGATCAGCTTTTTTCAACTTAACCAGGCCAAGCTAATACTTAAACAGACACATAGTCTATCACTAGGCCATCCTCCTTAGTGAATAGTCAAATGCTACCCATACACTTACATATCTATCTTTGATAAGTTGTATGACCTTGGCCATATCATTCAAATTCTCTGAGTGGCAATTTCCTGATCGGTAAAACAGGACAAAAGTCTTGTACCTCTCTACCTCACAAAGACTTTTATAAGTAAAGTACTTGGTCAACTATATAGTGTCGGTCATGTATTTCACTGGTACCTTGAAATTTCAGGAGAACTTCAGGAAGATCACCAAAAGGCTAGTAGAGTCCCCTGTGCATGTATACATGCATACACACACACACACACACACACACACACACGCGCCTACAGACACACATGGAACAATATACTTGTTTCTCCCCTTAGAATGTAAACTCCTTGACAGGAGACTATCTCATTCTTTGTACTTGTCTCCCTGGGGCCTTGCACTATAGGCACTTAATGCCTGATACCACAGTCAGGATTACCTTTCTTATGTAGAGATCTAGCCCTCTATTTTTCTCAAAATTATTTAATTCTTCTTTGTCTACTGAATAAAGAACAAATTTTTGCCTCCATCTCTCTTTTCAGAGTTATGTTATTTTCTTGCACATTTGGAAAATTTCTTCAAGCAGACCTGCTTACTCTGTTTCTAGAACCTAGTGCTCTTTCTTGCCTATAACAAAGAGGGTTCCTACCACTCCCTCAGCCTGGAATGTCTCCTCTCCTATTTGCCTGAATTCCAACCATTTTTTAAAGTCCAATTCAATGCTACTTTTTGACACCTTCACTGAGTGACAGAGTTGTCTATGATCCTCCCCCTGAGATCTCTGATAGTATTTTGTTTGGCATCTCTGCAATGTACTTATCAAGTATTACTGTGATCACCCTATGAGACTGTAAGCTACCCTAGCACCAGGATTATAACTTACCTAAACTTTGCATCTCCTCCAGGGCTCTCAGTACAGTGCCCTCGATATAACAGTCATTTAATAAGTAAAGTCAATAAGCATTTGTTAAGTGTCTATTATGTGCCAAGCATCATGCTAAATACTGAGGATACACACAAAGGCAAGAAGATGTTCCTGCTCTCAAGAAACTCATAGCACAACAACAACTATGTACAAAGGAATGATGTACTGTATGAATTGGAAAGAGCCAACAGATTAGCTTTAGGAAGGGCCAAGAAAGTCCTTCTATAAGGAGGTAGGATTTTAGCTGGGACTTGAAGTCAGGGAAGCTAAGCAGAGATGAGGAAAGAAATCCAGACATATAACTGAAGTAACATAAATATTAACCAAATGAACAGAATACATAAGGCAAATAATGTTAATTGTTTCCAAAAAGTTGACCTTATTTAGAATCCTTACTATGATCTAATTTTCTGGGAAAGAATTTTAATTTGAAGAAACAACTAGGAAAGCTTAAAATGCAACATACCAACGATGCTTAAACATCATCAGTTTTACATAGTTTTTTGGCATGTAAAGTTCCCTTATTTTTTAATTTTAGTAATGACTATTAGGTGCTGAAATTTTGGTTCTAAAAAAAATAGCATTCTGCATTGTTACAAAAACAAAACCAAACCATTCATGCTACATTCCAGGTAGAATGATTTGCAGGAAAATTATCAGTATTTTTACTTTATATTAGAAGCATACCACCTTACCTGTGGAGGGATGATGTTTTCAATACTGATACCCACATACACCAATCGCTCTTTCCTTAAAAAAAAAAAGAGGAAGCAAAACAAAATTACCTTAAGAAAGCTTTGTAAATATCGAGTTGTGTAAAAAACTACTAATACAACAACTATTAACTTTATATTAGAGACTAAGATCAAATTACAAATGACACATTGTCTTTATGTGACTACACAAGATTGTTATTTGATTTTTTTTTCTTTTTGCTCATTTAAAACATGGGACTGATCTCAGGTCTTCTTGATTATAAAGTGGCTCTTTAGGCAATATGCCTGGCTGCTTCACTTAAAGTGGATATTTCCCTAGAGTCAATCTTGGTCCTAATTTATCTGCAATTTCAACTAACATGTCTATTCAGATACACATTGAATTACTAGTATTAGGAAGGATTTTAGAGTTCATTTGCCCAATCAGTTCATTTTATAAATTAGGAATAAAGGCAAAGAAAGGATTACATATTAGTAAGACTAAGACTTTTGGACACCCTGTAGAACTAGCCCAAGTTAACACAAAGAGTTAGCATCAGCTGAGACAAGTCTCAACATTTTCCAACTCCCAGTCTCTAGGGCTTATTCAATCACATCATATCACCCTGTATTTTCTGCAGCTAAGTTGTGCAGGTGTAAGGCTAATGAAGGTGAGAAAAAAAGAGTTGTTGAAGCTTTAAATTTATTGCAAGGAACCTCAACAGCCATCCAGTCTAACCTTTTTCTGAAGTGTTAATTGCAGTTGTCCTACTTTTGTCCTCTGAATCCATATAGAATAAAAGGATTACACCTTTTCCTACACACATCAATTTTATAACTGTGAAGACAATCGGACATCCAGTCTCTATTTGAAAAGGCACTGTAGCACAATAAAAAGAATATTAAAGCACCTAGAAGCAGCTAGGTGAGATAGTGGATAGTGTGCTGGGCCTAGAGTCAGGGAGACCTGACTTTCAAATCAGCCTCAGATACTAACTAGCTGAGTAACTCTGGAAAATTTGCTTCATTTCTGTCAGCCTCAGTTTCCGTAAGTTTAAAATGGAGATAATAATAGCTCCTACTCCCCAGGTTTGTTGTAAGGATCAAATGACATAATATCTATTAAGTATTTAGCACAGTGCCTGTTACAGGGTCAACATTTAACAAATGCTAGCTCTTGTTATTATTGATAATGATAATTACTAAATGTGGAGTCAGAAAATCTAATTTCAAATCCTAGTTTTGCTATAGGACCTGTATGAATTTGGATTAGTCACTTAACAAATCTGGCCTTAGTTTTCTAATGTGTAAAATAAGGGAATTTGACTAGATAATCTCTGGTGTTTCTTCCCTTTATAAATCTTTTGACTTCCAATGATGGAGACTCATTATTTTATGAAGCCATTCATTCTATTTTTGCACCAATCTAATTGTTAGAAATCCTTTCCTTCTCACTAATGCATTGTTGGTGGAGTTGTGAAATGATCCAACCATTCTGGAGAACAATTTGACCCAGCAATAGCACTTCTAGGGCTATATCTCAAAGAGATCATACAAATGGGAAAAGGACCCACATGTACAAAAATATTCATAGCAGCTCTTTTTGTGGTGGCAAAGAATTGAAAATTGAGAGGATGCCCATCAACTGGGGAATGGCTGAGCAAGTTGTGGTATATGAATGTAATGGAATACTATTGTGCTACAAGAAATGATGAACAGGCTGACTTCAGAAAGACCTGAAAAGACTTGTATGGTCTGAGGCTGAGTGAAATAAGCAGAACCAAAAGAACTTTGTACACAATAACAGCCACATTGTGAGATGACTACTATTGATAAACTTAACCCTTCTCAGCAATACAAGGATCTAAGACATCCCCAGAGGCCTTGTGATGGAAAATGCTATCCACATCCAAAGAAAGAACTATGGAAGTTGAATCGCTATCTTTTTTTTTCTCTTCTGTTGCATTCTGTTTCCTCTTTCTAATGGTTCCTCCTATTGGTTTTAATTTTTACTTACAACTTCACTAATGTGAAAATATGTTTAATAGGAATGTAAATGTATAGCCTTTATGAGATTGTGTGCCATCTTGGGGAGGGTGGTGGGGAGGAAGGGGGAGAAAAATTTTAAACTCTTGTTGATAAATCAAAATAAATTAATAAAATTTTAAAAATATATATTTTCCTTCTACTGAAGCCAAGCCAGGTGCTCTGTAATTTACACACAGTGTTACCTCTTCAGAAATCATATGTACTCTGCTTCCCTCTGCTGGCAAAGCCTACTTATCTAAACTAAGGTCAGTAATATGAAATTTTCACACCTCCCCGGTGACGCAAGCCGACTTTAAAGATGCAACAAGCATATATCTGCACATCCATTTTCCAAGGTGTAAATAAATATTCAATGTGTGGGATCAGCTTTATCACTGCAGAAAGACAGTGTAAGCTATGCTGGAAAAAAAAGGCTCATACAATAGGAACTTTTTTTTTTAAAGCTGTACACTAAATGGATGATTCCTCCCTGGGTCCAACTAAAGGTTCTAAGGGAAACAATAATATAACTATGTAGGAGTAAATAAATTCTAAGATGCCAAGGTGAAAGATAGGGGGCTCAATAACAAATCCACAGGCTATACTGTGTGCATACTTCCTTTCACTATAAAATAAAAGAAAATAGCTTCACTTTGGCAAGACATGATCTAAATATAAGTTGTTCTTTCTCCTTACATCTGGCTTATATAAAGCATAAACATGACCTATGATTACCTTTTAGTCAAATATGTCAACAAAAGCAACATTTAAAAAGTTATGATAAAAATTAGCAAAACATCATTATTTACTGAAATAAATGTCAAAAAAAGTGATGTTTTATTACATATAATTAAAGGAAAAAACAATTTTGCATAATTATACTTTAATTCACCGAAGGATCTTAGTATCCTGTCCAATGATATAATCCAACCGTGCATGTCCATTCTCAGTGAATTTCACCCATGTTTTCCAATAAGCTTACATTTGACCATAGATGCCAAGGGTTTTGCTGGAGTTATCATGACATCATGAGGATTCCAACAAAGCAAGTGAGGATGGTATCACTCTCAACACATAACCACCACATCACCTCATTTACATTACTTCTCATTTATAAGTCCTCGATTATAATATGTCATAACATGTTTAGACCTCACATGCATGGACTTTCTGTTGCATTTTGCAAAATTTCTGGCTGAACTGTGTTTGAATTCCATCTCAAACACTTACAAGCTGTGGCACAAAGCCTGTAACATGGCAGGAGTTTAATAAATGCTTAATGACTTACTGGAGGAGGGTAAGGAGTGGAGGATAATGCTGAAGTTACAAAGCTGAGAGTCTAAAGGAATGGTGGTGCTCAAACTGCAGACCTAGGAGTCTGGAGAAACGATGGTGCCTTGGACAAATATGAAAGTTTGTAAGGAACTTGTCATGTTCCTTCCTGTGCACCATGTCTAGTGCCTTCTGATTATTTTTCAAATGAACTCTTAACTATTTGCAAACTGGTGTGACTGAAAATACTTTTTTATGAACGCTATAATATGAAAGGACAAACACCCAATAAAATTGTGTTTCTTGCTGACTTTGGATGCATACTAAAAGTCACTGTTAGCCCCCTTCTTTGCCTTTCCAAGGACGTGCTGGAGGCGTCCTTCCATTCAGATTTAATTTCCTTCTGCATTGTGGTTTTGCTGAGCATATCTCAAAATTGGCAAGATTATGTTCATCTGGTACAGGAGTTCTTACTTTGAAGTCTGTGAACCTGGACTTTTAAATCTTTTCATACCTGTATTTCAGTATAACTGGTTTTCTTTAGTCCTATGTATTTTATGGTCTATCTTTAAAAACATTATTCTCAGAAGGAATACACAGGCTTCACCAGACTGACTGCCAAAGGGCGTCATGACACTATGAAGGTTAAGAGTCCCTGCTCTTGTATTATGAGTATAAAATGGTCACTGGACCTTACATTTAATGAGAAACAGTGAAGTTTGTCAGTGGTCTAAAGACTGTGTAGTTTTAGTGTCCTCTGTCCTGTTTTCTAATGCTCTGCTACCATCATTAAAGAACAAATAGAAGGACTGGGAGCCATTTTCTACTTTTCTTTGTTTCATGGGTTGCCCTATCCAAAGAATAACTCACCAAGTGATCAACCTATTGGTGACATGCTTCTCTGTACACATCTTTAAACAGTTCATTGTCATGACTGGACCTGACACTTTTCCAGTCTGGCAAAAACATGCCAGAGCATATGTTCTACTGGTATAGTCACTGGACAACCTCTACAGCCACTTCTATGCAATCATGTAGCATCACAGTGAACTTTACATAATTATTATTTGGTTATAATTTTATTTTTCAAAGAATCTCATTTTAGATCCTCTATTTTGAGGTTACCTATATATTTACTTATTTATTCAGCGTCATGCTAGTAGGGTAACTCCTTCAAAACAGTTAAAGATAGGTAATATTTATATTCTCCTTTACCCTCCCTCCACATTGTTGGATATATAATGGACCCTCAAGAAACACTTAGCTAGTAGAGTTGAACTTCTGCAAGATGAATCAATGTGAACATCCCTATACAACCTTTAGTACCTTCGTTCAGCACGCTCCTTCTTTTTCAAGGCAACATCCAAATCCTGCAACTGCTCCTCTAGCTTCTCACAGAGAAGTTTCTGTAATGAAAAACAGACAAGGTCTCAACTTTCCATATGAGGAAATCATTTTGGCCAAATAATCTGACATTTCTTTTTATATATACACATACATACATATATATAGATATAGATATAAAGATATAGATATATATAGATATATCTACATCTATATAGATATATCTATATATATCATCCGACATTTCTAAGTTAAGTTAAGTGATGTTTATCACAGAGGAGCTAATACAGGGCTACATGTTAAATGAGACTAGTAAAATGCTGGGACAGATAAACTAAAGGCCCAGAGCTCCACTGAACTCAACACAAGCTCTAATTCTCGGAAGTGAAGTACTCTTGAGGGTAATAGGTAACGATCAGTTATGCAGGGACACATACTTCTTACACACTAGTTCACGCTGCAGCAGTATCTGGCCAACAGGTATAGAAAACGAGATAAAAAAAGACTTAAATACCACAGGGAGAAAAATGGATACTAAGTTAAAACAGAACTGATCCACTACTGAACTGATAAAGATGTGCCTGAATGTGGCAACTTTACTTCACTGAGTAACACACAAAGTTCATTTATCTGTAAAACAAAGTCGGGATAAAGTCTATTACACTTGGTGAGAGGTAGAAAAATAGAGACTCCACACAAAGTCCTGTATCCCATCCCTTCAGTATTGCAAAGGAATTTCTTTGGATAAACATCTAAGAGGAGAGAAATTTTTATCTCTCCTAGAACAACAACAACAAAAAGAAAAATCCCACTACAATACTGTTTGCAAGCAGAGAGGTAGAAAACAAAAGGAGAATGAAACCAAAGATTAACAAAATGTAAAATATTTTACTTGCATCAAGTTGGAGAAGGTGTATAGGTCTCAGGCAAATACAAATCAAAATAAAGCTAAAAATAAGAGTTATATATAAATGAAGAGGAATGGGGCAGGGGGAGTGAGAGGATTGTTTCAGAAAAAAATAGCTTCTCAAAGGATGCTATTATAATTTTTGATAATTCATCAGTTTCTGTGAGTAAAGAAATCTGTACAAGCCACAAATAGTGTTTACAGATTGCTATGAGAATAAAAGATGCCATAGAGATGCCACTCATTATTAATTTAAATCTAAAAACACTGATTATAGAGTGAGTACAAACAAAGGTCATCATACGTGTTGGCAAGGGGGACAAAACCACTCTCCATCAGGAATTATCATCAAAGGTGGTCGAAGGCAAGCTGTATGGTATCCACTGTCACATGAGTCACACAAAAGAATCTGGAAATAAAAAACAGATTAGTGTCACCCTAATTCTATGGGAAAAATTAAATTATTCCATTTTTAGAAAAGATAAAACCACAGAGTTATAGCTTGGAGGGACCTCTGAGATCACCTATTTGAATTCCCTGTACTCCTAATTTTTTACATACAATGAAACTGAGATTGCGATAGGAAAAATGACCTGGCCAGGGTTACATAACAAGTTAGTGATAGAACAAGGGCTTCAATCGAAAGAGCTTGGCCCTCAGGACAACTGCTTTTCATTACAGTATTTTTTCTCCATACTCTTCAAAGTCTTTCAGAATCTTTATTTTTCCTCAAATGTTAAGTCAGCTATAAAGCTCATTCTTATAGAGTGCTATAGTTTACAAAATATTTTCTCACAATAATCCAAGCATTATAATTTATGTTTTAAAATGAGGGAAGAGATTCAGAGTGTTAACCGTGACAGGAGAAGCCTCATGCAAATCCAAATCTTCAGACTCAAGGGAAGCATCTAGCTTGAGTGCCTGTAGAAACTGGAGACAGGTGTGCTTGGAGGCAGGCGATAAGGTGAGTGAAAGGATGATGATAAAGCCTATTTAAAATTTTTCCATTAGGCCAACCTCATTCCCTGGAAAAGAGGAGTAAAGTGTCTTCTTTGTCCTCCTCTAAATCCCTCTCACAGCCTATGCGTCCAGGGTCCTGATTTATGAAAATGATTAATGTTTGTAACAATAACAGCTCACATTTATACAGTGTCCTAAGTTTTCTATAGCATTTCCTCCCTCTAGCCCTGTGAGATAAGAAATAAACGTATCATCTCCATTTTTCAGATGGGGCACATCGCATGGCCTCCAGTGATTTCCACTACAGACTACAATGGTTTTTTGAGGCATGCTGCTGGCATTCCAACTGATGTGCTAATATCACAGAAGTATGGGCCTGGGACTCTAAGTACTATCTACAACACTGTTTTTATAGGAAAATGTGTTCTAAGTTGTGACTGATTCATTTGGGAGGCAATGTTGTTTAGCTGAGAGCACTGACTGGGAAAGAGAAGATTGTGGTTCTAGTCTTACCGCTGCCATTTACTAGCCCCTTCATTCAGTGTGTGTCCAAGAGATGCTCCATTTCCTGATACCTTTTTAAGGGGAAGTTAGAATTGTTAATGTAGGACAAACTTGCAAGAAACTACTCACCGGAAGCAAGTAATGATTGATCCCTAATGAGCACTAAAGGCACGAACTTCATTTATTTTGTAATTTGTTTATCTTAATGCAAAATTAAATCACCATCCTGAAGCTTCTCTATTGAGTACTCATCACGGGAACGACCTTCTAAATTTATGAACTGGTAAACTCTGTAGCAATTACAGGCCTCTTCAAATTTTCCTAGCAATACCCTTTGACTCTTATGGACATATCACATCTGAAATGGTTGGTAAGGTCCTTTTAGGAGCTATTTCCAGTGTATAGCAGTGGCTTCCTCAAAGGAGACACTATATGTTTGCTGAATTAGATTCAGGTTACTTAAATCTTTCTGAGCCTCAGTTTACTTATCCATAAAACAAGTTCAGAGTATGATGTGATTTTTATCTAAGGATAATAGCTACCTTGACTATCTAATAGGTTGTGATGACTATATTACATAATATGCTATATATGCAAAAGTGCTTTAAAGCACAGTAACATGTAGATAAACATAAAGTATAGATAAAGTCTTTGAGTAAAACCCACATTCATTCTGTGGGTCCCCCATTTTACTGACTGCACATACAACAGATCAAATTTCATCACAAGGAATACCATCACAACACATATTTCAGTTAAAAATTGTTATTAATATATTTATTTCTAATTATATTGGTAGCATCATGAATGTGATGATCAAATGACATAATATATGTAAATCCCTTTGCAAATTTCATTGGAATACAAGCTCCTTGTGACTAGGGACCATTTCTTTTGCTGTGTTTATACTGCTAGACCAGGCCCAAAGGAAATTCTTATTAAATGTTCCTGAGTACTGGCAGGGATGTCAGCAGGGCCTTTAGTCCGACATAATTTCACAGATGAGGAAACTGTGGCCCAGAAGTTCCCTGCCCTGCCCAAGATCACAGAGTAAGTTTTGCAGACAGAACTGGAAGCCAGGGCCTCTGATTCCAAATTCAGTGCTCTTTCTACTTTAACACACACATGGCTTCAATGTATTATTGATAAAATTTAGGCTTCAATGTATTATTGATAAAATTTTAGGATAACAAATCATTAAGATGGCTGACTTAAGATTATTTTTATTAGATTTAAAACATATTATGTACTCATGAAGGTGCTGTTTTGTAAACATTTCTCCATCTTTGTCCCTAGTGTAGAGAAAAAGAGGGCACATGTCCAAAGTACTCTTTGCCAGGAGCAAATACTCAAGGATTTTATTCTTCAAGGGAGAACTCTAATGCATATCCCTAGAATATAGTGAGACACTTAAAACTTACTAAATCAATGAACACCTGCCCAGTAAAAGCAGTTCATGGATTCTATTGTCAGGGCTGCAGTCACTCTCCTGCAGTAAACACTTGCCAGAAGAATGTCAAGGATAAGGGTACTGTTAGCTTTACCAGTCTATTCATCATTGACCACAAAGATGTGCAGACATTGGACAAAAGATGCTGGAATCCATCTTCATATTAATTTCCCAAACATATAATATGTTTATCATGGCAAATTTATTACTATTACTAATGCTCCTACATAACTTTATATTGCCAAAATAAAGATCTCAAGTTGAACCTAGAATGCACCCAAAGCATCTACATTTGAGAGCATAAATGAAGAATCGTGTGGTTCTCTAACAGTATAACTGCCTGCATTGTGAATGTGACACAGGCCTATCCCAGAATATCTTGCTTTAGAGTTGTAGTCTCTTCGTTGTTTGGTGTTTATAATCTTCACCAAGAATATTCACTCGAATGTAATGGAATATAATGGCTAGGTAGTCACTGTCCTCTTTTTATACCCCCATTGCTCTAAGACAGACCCTCATTACTTTCCACATAATAGCCACAAAACAGATCTTCCTGCCTCCTCTTTCTTCCTTATCCAATTTTTCTTTCACTTATTGCCTGAGTAATTTTCTTAATGCAGAGATCTGGTTACATCATTCTCTTGCTAAAAATCCATCAACGTCTTATAGCAAATAAATTTAAACTTCTTAGAGCAGTTTCTAAATCCTGACAAGCTGGCATCACCTTACCTTAATTAATCTTATCTCATCTTCTTGCCATCCAGCTATTCTACACTCCAGGCAAAACTCTACGACTCTATGCCCCAATACAACAGGAAGGCTTCTTCACCAGATACTTAAGAATTTGTCTCTCATGGCAGACAAATAAATCAGATATTAGTTTCTAGTTCTACTGACCTGGGCCATTCACTTTGAAAAAGTAAGCTGAACAGAAAAAAAAAAAGGCCATAAAAATCTACCACCATTCCTCTGAGCATATTGTATTATTTCTCTATTTTATTCTGCCTATTTGGGCTACTTATTTTAAGGCTACAAGAAAGAGTATCCTCCTGTAATTCAATCGAGCCTTCAAACATGGTTTACATATGCCAGAAATGCTAGCATTATCAAAGAACTTTTAGGATAGTAACCAAAGGCATCATCATTTCAAGAAATTATTTATAATTCTATAAATTCCCTTCTCATTCTTGGTCCTGGTAACTGCAATATGCTCTAACCCAGTGTAGTCTGGTAAAACAGGCTGGCCTATTGGTCTAAGACTCCTTGGGTCTGGATTCTTCTGCTGGCTCTGTAATTTACTATCTACGTGACTGGACAAGTCACCTAACTTCCCTGAACCTCAGTTTCGGCGATTGCAAAATGGGGGAAACAGGATCATAGGATTTTTAGAGCTGAAGGAAACCTGAAAGATCATTTATCTAGACGAACCCCTTTATTAAACAAACAAAAAAAAAGCTGAGGCCTAGAGAAGTTAGTTAATAATCACTGTCCTGTCTCCCTCTACGGTTGTTGTAAGGAGAGACAATGGCTCATAGGACAGCATTCTATTCCTGTTCCCTTCAATGTTTTCTCACTTCAGTTAGGATAGGACTTAATAGACACTGGTTTTTCGTTGCTGCTACTGTTGTTTTTGGCAAGGCAATGGGGTAAGTGACTTGCCCAGGGTCACACAGCTAGCATGTGTCAAGTGTCTGAGGCCAGATTTGAACTCAGGTCCTCCTGACTTCAGGACCCCTGCTCTATTCACTGCACCACCTAGCTGCCCCATAGACACGGTTTACAAGTTCTTTTCCTCCTTAAACCATATGGAGCGAAAGGACTACAAAAGACAAAAAATTAAGAAACATATAAATCATGTGCTACAACTAAGATGGGCGGTGACAACTGCTACAATCCAGAGGTTTGAAAGGGATGGATGTACAGCAGGGACATACCAGCTCAGGATGATTGGGAAGGCCACATTTCTTGCATGGTTCATCATCATCTGCTGGCATGGCTTCTTCAGTTTCCTTTTCTTCCTCCTCCTCTGATTCTGCAGATGATTTCTCACTCTCAGATTCCTCACTTTCATCATTGCTAGAATATTTCCATCGACCACGTGTTCGAGAACCCGTCCACCGGACTTTGTTCTTGGATTTCATCTAGATAAAATAAAAAGTGGGAGGATGTTTATCTTATAACACTAAGGATCACTGACTCTCACAAACTGTTGTTATTAAAATATTCTAATTAGAAACTAAAGTGAATTTAAAAATCTAAATAAGTCAGAAGTAAATTATAGAATTGCAGAGCTGTATGAGAGACTCCAGAAGTCATCTACTCCTACTCTACCTGAGGCAAGAATGCTCTTCACAGAATAACAGAAAAGGAGTCATCTAATTTCTATTTGGACATTTCTTTTTTCTTTTTCTTTAATTTTTAAGCAGTTGGGGTTAAGTGACTTGCCCAGGATCACACAGCTAGTTAAGCGTCAAGTGTTTGGTCTGAGGCCAGATTTGAACTCAGGTCCTCCTGACTCCAGGGCCAGTGCTCTATCCACTGCGCCACCTAGCTGCCCCTACCTGGACATTTCTCACCATGCATGGGGAACTCATTCTCAAGAAAGGAGACCTGGGGCAATCAGCACTTTGCACATATTAAGTGCTTAACAAATGTTTATTTAACTGGTGATTAGAAAATTCTTCTTTAGAGTGGGCTAAAATTTGTCTCCAAGTAATTTATATTCTCTATATTCCAACCTACTTCTGCTTTCTGGAATCTACTCCCCTCTTCCTCAAGAAGGCTATTCAAATATCTGAAGACAGAGTGACTACGTTCCTCCTAAGACTTTTTCTCTAGGCAAGTTACCTCCAATTCCTTTAACCAATCATCATATGACTTTCATGATATTTAAAAATATTTAAAAGTTCTGTTTATGCACAGAACAGAAAACAAGTCAATTTGATGTACACATTCTATAAATCTTATATTACTATCACATTACATAGTCTACACTGTAGATCTACTAGGATAGCACAAAAGATTCTAACAGAAAGAAAATTTTTTTAAATTACTTTAATGTTCCTTATGTCAATGTAACAAAGGAAAGAAGACAATGAAAAAATGTCTTTTTGGCATTTTATAAACAGGATGAACATGTGTAAAAATGCAGAAAAGACTCTAAAATGAAAATCAATACTTCCAAGGAGGCTATCAAATTGTATTAATTACAAATTTTGAGGGAGTACATCTAAACTATTTATGTTACACCAATTAGTATTTTAAATCACTGAACCACAAGATGGGAGAAATCCTGGCTTCTAGAGTAAATTAAAATTATATTTAAAAATGAACCAAATCTTATATGACCTGAGACCTGGCATCATTCTGAGGATGCCTAAAAAGGACACCCAAGTTACCATGTTCACAGAACAAAAGGATTTAGAACAAGAGCCTTAGTAGACTCTAGTCGAATGTCTTCATTTTCTAGAACTAGGTATCCAGATAAATTTAAAGTATCACTTATCAATCCAAATCAAAGAATTGTAGACACACAAAGATTCAAACATCTCGAACTAAAAATGAACCTATTCTTGGAGTCAAAATAGTGTGTATATAGTTTTACCTTGTTGACTTTAGAATTAGCATCCTTGTCAGGCTTCCTTGAGTTCTCCTTTTTGTCCTGTTTTTGGACAGATGCTGAGTCTTCTCCTTTCTCTTCCTCCTCCCGTTTTTTATCAGCCTTTTGATCTCTTATTTCAGCCACTTTTGCTGTGGGTCTAGATATTCTTGGCGACCTTCTTAAAGTTCGACCAGGAGTTACTTTCTCTTCTTCCTTTTCTGTCTCTTCCTTTACTTCTGTATCCGGAATCTTTGGAGAAGAGTCAGGCTTTTTCTTCCTGCTAGAGATCCTGATTGTTAATTTGATGCCTTCTTTCTGCCTTTCAGATGTTATTTCCTTATTTTCTGTTTCAGTGGTTTCTTCCTCAGGAACCAATTTATATTTAAATTTACTTTTTTGTGTGGTGGATCCCTTCTTGGTCTCTGAAGAGTCTTCTATTTTAGAAGGTTGGCTACTGTCCAGTTTATCTACTCCAGCTTTGGAAAGTTCCACTTCCTCCTTGAGGACCTCAGGGTCCGTTTTCTCCAGGAGATGGCTATCTTCACTGGGCTTTGTATTTTTGGAATCTAACCCATCCTGGTAATCAGAAGCAGCAGAAGGTAGGGAGATGTCTGCCGCCTCTGGAGAGCATGGTGTCTTCTCTGGATCTACAATGCTCTTTGCAATCTCTTCAGGTATAGGACTCAGTTTTGATGTGTCCTTCTCAAGAATGGTCTTCTTGGACTTCTCTAACTTTTCTAGACATTCTAGGAGTGGAGGCCGTTTGTCTTTCTTATTTTTGGCGGAGGACTTCTCTTCAATTTTCTTGGCACAGGCTTCAGCAGTGGAAAAAGCTGTTTTCAAAGAAAGATCTTCTGACATCTCTGAAGTGTCTTCAAGAGTTTTTTCAGTTTCTGGAGGACCAGGTTCTTCCAGTCCTTGACCTCTCTGAGTAGGGCCCTCTCCATCTTTCCCAGATTCACTTGTTTTTATGCTCTTATTTAGAGACACCAAAGATTCTGCCCCATTGTCTCCCACCAAGCCATTTTTCTCCTTGGATGGATGAATACCCCCTTCTTTTATGCTGTAGAGCTTGGTTTCTAGTTGTTCTGTCTTATTCCTCGGAGTGTTTTTTTCACCACTAACTTCTCCATTGACTAGCTGTTTTCCCTCAGGACACAAAGCCATGATTGTGGGAATCCGCTTACAAATCTCCTCCTCAGATTTCACCTCTTCTTTCAACGCATCTTTTGTTGGAGTCACTGATTTACACAAGGGTCCCTTGACTGGACTGTCAAAATCATCAGTCAATTTAATCTCACGTTTTTTCAAGGGTATCTTTGCTTGCTGGTCATTTTTTAATTTTTCAGTTTCTTCAGTAGATTTCTCCATAATTTCTGGAGGAGGCTTAATGCCAATCTCTAATCGCTCAGGTTCATGAATAGTCATTTTGTCTGTGCTACTTTTAACATCTTTTGCTTCCACTTTGCATTCCTTTACCTCTACTTTAATAGGTTTAACATTCTCCTTGAAGGAATCACTTTCTTCTTTGGGGATCTTTTTCTCCTCATTTTCTGGTGAAGATTTCTCTAGCTTCACTATGACTGGCATTTTTACAAGTTCCTTTTCTTCTGGCTTCTCAGTTTTTACCAGATTCTCTTCCAGGGTAGTGGGTACAGGAAGATTTTCTGATTCTTTTGCTGGTTCCTCCACTTTCACCTTCTCATCTTTTGATTTTAATTCTTCCTCTACAAAAAATAGATAAAGGTTAATTTTTAGACAGAGGCTTTTATGTCATTTTACATTACAGGGATCACAGGCCAGAGTTAAAAGAAAATTTAAACACTAATTATAAACACTCAATAACTAGGTATGATTTATAAACTACACGAAAAAGCAACTTTCACAGAATTAAAACTGGAACGTCAGTCAATCAATAAGCATTATACCAACATACCATAATTTATTCAGCCACTTTCTAATTGTTTGACAATTAGTTATTCTCCTTTTTTTGGGCTAATACAAATACAGCAGTTATGAATATTTTCATACACAGAGGTTCTTGTTTTTAAAGATGTTTTTAGTATAAAAATTGGACCAATAAGATTTTACATAATGGTTTTGTGACTCACTGTATTTAGCCATATTGGCATAAAAAATTTTTGTACCTCTTCTCAGCTTCGCCATTAGTTCTGTAATCTCCACTGGATTTTTATATTTCTTTCAACTTGCCATTCTAGTTAATGTCTTAAGATCAATGATATGTAGGGGCTGCTAGGTAATGCAGTGAATAGAGCACCAGCCCTGGGGTCAGGAGGACAGAGTTCAAATCCAATCTCAGACCAGACACTTGACACTTACTAGCTGTGTGACCCTGGGCAAGTCACTTAACCCTAACTGCCTCACCAAAAAGAAAAAAAAAAGAGATCAACGATGGGTACCTCTCTGATTAGGGTATTTGAACACCTTTGCATATGGTTAACAGTTTGTATTTCGTCTTTTGTAAATGTTCTATTCTTATCCTTTAACCACTATTCTTGTGGGTGATCTATAAAATCACATAAATTTACAAGCATTTCTTTCAAAGATTAACCTTAAACCTTATCTATAATGCAAATATTTTCTTCACATTCTTTTATTTTTATATCATTATATAAGTCACATTACTTTTGTCATCATATAATTTCTTCTATTTGTTTGGCTGAAGAAAATCTTCCTTTTTTCTACAGTTTTTATAACTTTTTCTCCATTAAAAATTTTCTTTTTTTTTTTTTAATATTTAAGAGAGACTATTGTTGAACCAGGTCAAGTTTACTATGGTATACTGTGTGAGGTACAGAGCCAAATTGCCTTTTTTTGGTCACAAAATTCTGCAATCTTCCTACAAATTTTAATTGAATTTGTTCCCAGTGTTTTGTGAGTGTGGGTTTATAAAATATTAACTTTTTAAAAAATCATTTTAAATGCTCCCTATACTATATCCAGCCTGTAATTATTGAGACTTGAAGAGCTTTAGGGAAGAGGAATCTGCTCTGCAAGCAGCCTGTTCTACTTGTGAACAAACAGAAGTTTTTCCTGACATTAAGCCTGAATTAAGTACTGAACTTCTACCCAATGCTCTGAGCTCCTTGTTCACATCTAGGCTCTTCAAATGTTTGATAAGTGCTACTATGTTCTTCCGAAGTCTTCTCTTCTGTAAGTTACACATTCTTAAGAGTTCTTTCTATTGACTCTCATAAAACAACGTCTCCACCCTTTTGGAGATTTGTAGTGGCTTTTTGCCACCTAACCCAAAAGGTATTTATTAAATATCTACTATAGATAAGGTAATGAGTCTACAGAGACAAAAGAAAACCAAAATTCCTGTCTACAATGAGCTGGCTGCCTTGCTCTGGGACAGTATCCAGTTTATTTAACCCTCCCAACTTATGAAAGTCTATATGGTAATGATGAGTGATTTACTGTATTCTGTTTCTGCATAAATGTTCATTGATTAAACTGCTGTACAGTTTTATTTCCCAATTTTGTACTTTAAATAAGTATCAAAATAAGAATAATCAAAATAAGAATCAAAACAATACCTGTCTGTTCGGAGTTGAGTAGCCTACTTCTTTCATATTTCTTGCTAGTCATACTATACAGGGTGTCTCAAAGTCTTCGTGTAGTTTTAATAGCTTAACACGTTTGAGATATCTAGTGTCATGTCTATCCAGTATCTCTGTCACTTTTTTTTTAAATTTGGTAAAGTTTTCTTGGGAAACTATAAGGAAGAACTTTAACTAGAAACAGAATTTCTCATTTTGAGATGAGTTTATTTGGTTTATATAATTTCTTGTTTTATAAGTTTTAGTATTTTATACTTCTACAGATAATTACTAGACAGTTATCCATTTAAGACTCAAATTTGTTAACACAAAGCTAAGTACGGTAATATTAGACAATTTTCTTGATTTCTTTATGTGCAATGTGATCTCAAATTTGTGATGTCTACTTTTGGTGATTTGTATTTGCTCCCTCCTTTTTTCAATTAGACTTGCTAATTATTTATATCACACACACACACCAACACACACACACACCACACACACACACACACACGGTTGCCTCCATTGCCCACTATGTCTAAACCCAGGTCTGGCTACGCTTAACTTCATTCTCTAGCCAAAGTCTTCCTCAGCTGTCTTGCTTCCTGGATCAGAAACCATCTCCTTACCCTAAGATTTAACCTGTTCATACACACACTCTCATCCCAAAGCCCCATCTTCTTGAGAACATCAAGAATCTTTACTTTTGTGTTTGTACCTCTAGTGTAGCACAAGGTTTAGCATAAAATAAGTACTTAATGAATGACTTTTAATTTATACATTTTATTGAGGGGTTTAATAATCCGTTTTATTTTTTTTTCTTTAGTCATTTCTATCTAAATAAAATTTCATGAAGGACCCACATGTACAAAAAAAGTTATAGCACCTCAAGAATTGGAAATTGAAGGGAGGCCCATCAACTGGTGAATGGCTGAACAAGTTGTGGTATATGAATGTAATGGAATACTATTATGCTATAAGAAATGATGAGCAAGTGGACTTCAGAAAAACCTGGAAACACTTGTATGGACTGATGCTGAGTGAAGCGAGCAGAACCAGGAGAACTTTGTACACAGTAACAGCCACCTTGTATGATGACTAACTTTGATGGACTTAGCTTTTCTCGGCAATGCAAGGATCTAAGACATCTCCAAAAGTCTCATGATGGAAAATGCTATCCATGGGGGCAGATAGGGGGCACAGTGGATAGAGCACCAGCTCTGGATTCAGGAGGACCTAAGTTCAAATCTGGCCTCAGACACATAATACTCACTAGCTGTGTGACCCTGGGCAAGTCACTTAACTCCAATGCCTATCCAAAAACAAAAACAAAAACAGAAAATGCTATCCACATCCAGAGAAAGAACTATGGAGTTTGAAAGCAGATCAAAGCACACTATTTGCTCTTTTTGTTCCCCCTCTTCTGTTTTGTTTTGTTTCTTTTTTCTTGTGGTTACTCCTATTGTTTCTAATTCTTTACAACATGACTAATGTGAAAATATGCTGAATAGGAATGTATGTATATGTACAGCCTATATCAAATTACATGCTGTCTTGGAGAGGGAGGGGGAGAAAATTTAAAACTCAAAAGCTTTTGGAAGTGAATGTTGAAAACTAAAAACAAATTAAATAAATAAATAAATATAATTTCATGTTATGACTTCTGTGCTTAATCCAAATAAACAAAATTCGCACTAAACAAACTTAGGTCTTTTAAACTGAACTTTTCCTTAATCAAAGACAGAAGCTTTAACTTCTAAATACTCTGCCTATTCTACTGGTCTTCCCCTTTCCCTTTTTTGCTTCTCTGAAATATCCTTCTGAAAACAGTTATGTTTCATTCTTATTCCCTGTTTTCTTACAGCATGCTGTTTTCCTCAATAGATATTACTTGGTTAATCAAATCCAAAACACTCTAGCTTTTATTTTTATTTTTGCTTTTTGGTGAGGCAATTGGGGTTAAGTGACTTGCCCAGGGTCACACAGCTACTCAGGGTCAAGTGTCTGAGGCCAAATTTGAACTCAGGTCTTCCTGATTCCAAGGCCAGAGCTCTATCCCACTGCATCACCTAGCTGCCCCAACACTGGCTTTCAAAGTCCTTTATAACCTGCCTGCCCACCACTTGCCATACATACTAATTCCACATATTCTGTGAACATTGGCTAGTGGCACTGGTCCCCTTGATGTTTCTTATGTCTCTGGACCGAGTGCACTTTCACTGGCTGTCTTCAAAACCTAGAATGCTCTCTATCCTCATTTCTGTCTCCTTCTACATAAAGTAAGTTTTTTCTGATCCCCCTGAACGCTAATGTCTTTTCTCTGTGATTAATACGTAATTTACCTTGTATATATGGTTTATGCAGTTAATTGTTTGCATGTTTTCTCCATTAAACTGTGAGCTTTTTGAGGGCAGGAATGGTTTGGTGTTTTGTTTTTTTTTTTGCTTTTCTTTGTATCCTTAGTACTTAGCACAGTTCCTAGCATATAGCAGGTGCCTAATAAAATACCTGATTTGACCTTCAAAAATTCTTGCATAACTTTGATTCCCTTCATAATTCTGGTCATTTTCCTAAAGACTTGCTCAAGGTGATCGATATTTTTCCTAAAATGTCCAGTCCAGAATTAAAGAAAATATTCAACATGAGGTATGAGGACAAGTGTTGTAATATTGCTTCTAGCAATGCAGCCTCAAAATGTACTAGTTAGTGGGCCATGGGACCTCATGGAGGGACTCCATGCAAAGAAATTGTCTGCAGGGTTTTCTCCCTCCCCCACAAAAATTGATGTCTGGTCTGCTTTCCACCATTCTGTGTTTATGTGGATGATTTTTAGCCCAGAGAAAATACACTTTTTATTTATCCTCACTTAGTTTCATCAAATAGTAAAGGTAACTTCCATGACCATATCACTCTAAGACTGACCTCTCTTACTCAGGCCAGCCCACTATTCTAGCCTGTTAAAGTCTATTTGGTTCCATACTTTTCTGACATCCAATGTGTTTTAGCCCATCCTTCTAGTCTCACATCATTTCCACATCTGATCAACACACTACATATGACTACTGTCCAATAATGAAAATGCTGATCAGAACACAACCTAGTGTGCTCCACAAAGGACCTCACCCTTGGAGGGCACTACTCTTGGTCTGGTCATTCAGCCAGCT